TTTTTTTCTTCTTCTTTCTTTTTATTTTCCTTTCCTTTTTGTTTATACTCCATTTTTTTACTAAGTTATTCCTGGTAGAAAGTGAGTCTGTTTTCCATGTTTGCAGTATTTTAAGATTTTATTTTGAAGTAACAGAGGAAGGAAGCAAGAGATATCAACTGAGTAATTTATACCAAAGCAAAACTTTACCCGGTTTAGTTCCTGCAAATATTTACCCACTCTAGATACTTTAGTTTTAAATTGATGTTGTGGCCTTTCTATATTAATATATTAAATTGAAATACTGATTGTGAAAAGTAAAACCAGATAATATGGCACACAAATATCTTAAAATCAAGCTGTAGTATGTTTAATGTTTGCTTTTCCTTCACATATCCTCAGACTTGACTTTACATCTTATAATAATTCTTAATAATTTGTTCTTCTGTTAGCCTCTGAAAATTTAGATGTTTTTAAAGAGTAGGGCAGTTATGTAGTCTTATAATACAAGACAGTAGATTTCAGCGTTAGTTGCAAGTTAAGTAGCAGGTCATTGCTGTGATCACTTTGTGTATTTTTAGTTTGAAAGACTGTTTAATGTTTTAGGCTCGATACAAAGAAGCAAGAGACTATAGAAGAGCAAAAGTTGATGCTTCATATAAATACATTTTTGAAGTTCTCAGTGTCAGGCTAGGTTTAGACTTAACAACTGTGGAAGAAATGATTTTGGATGCCCCTTCGGTAAGTCTGTTCTCTATGTTCATTGGTTTCAATTATTAGTCAAGATATGTAGCAGATTGCGCCTTTGATATGAAGTGCTATCCATCATTTCAGGATACCTGACTAAATCATTCAGCTTTGTTTCCTGGCAGATTTGCAAATATTCCCAAGGTTTTTGATCGTGGCTTTTTCATCTTTCTTAACTGAAGGAAAATGTAATTATTGCTGTTATTTTGACCCAAGGGACTCTTGTCACATCTACCAGTTCCAACAATTTTCATCCATATCAGCCATTATTATATTCTAAAGATGATAATTTTTATTTGTTAAGCAAATCCTCACTGAAATGCCACAGATTCTGCAAAAATATGTGTAACTTCATAGGACCATTTTGAAAATTAAGATTGCTCTTCAGTAATAAGAGGGAAAATTAATCCTGCGCCACTTAATTACTGTAATTACATTTAGAAAGACCACTAAGTAATTTCCAGTTTTGAGTGCTTTGTTTATTTTTGAATGTTTAAAAGATGGGATAAAGTGGATTTGTAGAGTGAGTAGATCCCAAACCTGTGGAACTTCTGAAAGCTCAGTCATTCTTTGGGTGTCTTTAGTGTTGTGTCTTTCATAGTGTTTCAAAGTGAAGAACCAGCAACCAGCTAAACTGTTCTTTTGTAGAGTATCAAAACACAGTATGACCATATGTGAAAAAATACGGCCCTTGCCTTCTCTGATTGCGTGATGTTATTTTTGTCTGTTAGTAAGATTTGACTTAGCATTCGAAACTCAGCCAGATACTGTCTCCTTTGGTCAAACAAATCAATTGTTAGAACTTGAGCTGATTAGTTACAAGCCAAATTTAGTCTCAATCCAAATTTGTGGTTTATTCTTTGTTTACTGATATTTATATATCATAAAATGTACTTAAATAATCCTGTTTTTTTCTTATGCTTACACAACACAGAGGTGCCTTAAGTGTTGTCAATCAACTAACATTTTCTTTTTTTAGGGTTGCTAAATGGTATACAGTTTTAGATCATTCTGACTTCATGTAAAACTGCTGCTCTACACTGAGTTTGACTAATTCAGACACTTGAGGACCTTTGGGTTATAAGACCTTTTTTTTAATTATTTTTTGTAGTTGTGGGTTTTTGTGGTTTTGTTTTGTCTTTTTTTTTTTTAATAGTTGGAAATTTTCCAGTTTTAGTTTATTCATGAACAGTTTAGGCTGCTGGGACTGTGTCGACATTGTCCTTTGACAAATTGTCATTTAGTAAATTCCCATATACGTCATGTCTTTGACTTCCATGAGTTAAGGTTTACCCTTTAAAGCATTACCCTGTATGTGTATTCACACAGTGAGTGTTTTGTATCACATGGACTTGAACCAGAAGCTATTTGCAGAAGCGGTAGCCACAGGGGCAGCTCACATCTTACCTCCTGTGTAAAATCATACAAACACAAAAGTTACTGTTTGCCTTTCTCTTCCTCTCAGGTTGGAGTGCTTTTTTTATAATAGTGAATCTTTTTCTGATTGAATGAATACCTTTCATTTTTAGAAGGTAAGCATTGCATTTAGGAAGCAATCAAACTAGAAGAATTCTACTTAAGAATTTTCATTTAAAGGCAGTAGCACATAGGTAAGGAACTTCTCATGTTCTGCATGGAAAAAAAATGATCAATTACTTGTGTAATAAATATGTGGATAGATTATTTACTTAAGAAAATTCTCTAGTGTTATGTTACTTTTAAGGAGGAACATTGGATTTAAAACAATAATTTTCCGCTTTATATGACTGCAGTAAAATGGCTATTATATTGAAACAACACTGATTGTAGACGCATATTCCCAAATTTAAATTGCTTCCACTGGTATAAATTAATTTGAGAGTCTTAATTGGTTCTGTATTGTAATTGCTTTTTTTCAGGGGCTATAACAAGTATTGAAGGAGCTGTTGAGTTGAAAAAAATAGATTATATTAAATTTTCTAAACTCCAGTGCTTTGAGAAAGTAACTGCAGCAGCTGCTAATCCTGACACAGTTCACCAGCTAGAGGAAGTACTTGTGATATGGTATAGACAAATTGAACAGGTAAGTTATTGTGTTAACACATCAATCCGGCATGAATATGGATAGATATTTATAAATGATATATGAGACTTACCTGAAGTTAGCTGAAAGCTTCAGCTGCATCTCCACCTAAGACAAGCACTTCACTTCTATGCACAAGTCAAGTTAGGTAGGTAGTCCTTATCCCTAGGAATTTACAGTCTAGCAACAATAAGAGTTTCTGAACCGTTAATACGCAAATAATAAGAAGGAGAGGACAGAAGGATGCAGGAGTAATAACAGTGGTGAAGACTACATATTATATATATGTATATACACAATTAGGTATACTCTGTACATTACCTGTTAAGTTTCTGCTGCCAGTCATGGTATGAGATACTACTCTTAGAAAGATCTTTGACCAGGCCCAGTAGGGCATTTTTTAATCCCTTATAAATCTTACATGATAAGGTGTCAGTTATCCAAGAAATTAGTGCCTGACACTTCTGTAATAAAGCACAGAACCCTTTGTCAAAACACAGATTCTGTATGGGACATACTCTACTTCTAAGGGCATACTATGTTCAGTGTGTTTAGCTCATGGGAATAAAAATGTAAAAGACATGTAAAAACAGTTGACTGTATGTTCATCAACATACAAATGCGTACATTTATGTCTGATATTTAATGTTTTTATTAAAATAGTTCTTCAGATTTTTTACAAGTGATGTTATACTTGGAGCATTTCAATCCATAGATTCTGATTAAAGAAAAAAATACGGGTATGTGCTGAGATTCACCCAGTTTATGACGGCAGTTGAACATACGTATTTGTTGCCTTCATTTTGGCTTAATATGATTAAGTGCAATTCAGACTTAGGATGCTTTTCCAAATCAGAACCATTTTCATGTGTCTAACTGCAAGCTTGTTCCTTTTTAAGTTAGTATCCTCAGAGTGTTTCTTTTCTTCTTCTTAGTGATTTGTCTATTCTCTATAGTAAACATTTGGTGTTTTTTTCAAATTGGTTGCAGGTTCTGATTGAGAGTAAGCAGATGAGGAAGGAAACTGAGGATTCAGGTCCACTGACTGAACTAGAGCACTGGAAATGTATGTCTGCTAAATTAAATTTTATTATTGAGCAGATCAAAGGACCAAACTGCAAAGCTGTTATTAATGTTCTGAATGTTGGACGTTTTAAACTACTAAGTGTAGTTATTTTTTCTTTCTTATGTTGTTTTTTACTGTAGTAGACAAAGCTTGTGATATTTATTTTGTTTAATTGAGTCTAAGAGAAATTTCCTGAGGAGAATTAAGAGAGGGAAGTTTCAAGTATGGTGCTGGTATGCTTAATATATTAAGGGAAAGAACAGGACATTTTTAGAGATACAGATAAAAATTATCATAAATGAAAATAATTTTTATTGCCTTCTTTGACAATGCCTTTTAAAAATTAATTTTCCAAGGTTTACTTCCAGCAAATCAGTGCAAGTTAAAGAAATAGTTCACTATGTATGCAATATTTTACAGTACTCTTTTCCCTCTAGATGTGGAAAGAGTTAGATGCCAGAATCACACATGCAGCAAATGAATCAAAAGATAATGTGAAATACTTAGGCACACTTGAAAAAGTTTGTCAGCCACTTTATAACTATGATCTTGTAAGTATGCCTTTCATCATTCTCTAAGCATAGTTTAGGTATTTCCACAGAGCAAAAGAAGTCTTTGTATTTGCTTAAAAGTAAATTTTTCTAATTTACTTTTCTATTTTTCTAATTTTTCTGGTTTTTTTTCTAAACATCTGTGAAGCTAAATGTTAAAGCATTAGTTTATTATGTATTATATAAATACATTTAAAAATATGTATTTTATCAATAAAAGTAAATACATATGATTACCTAGTAAGTCAGTCCTGCTGCTAATGTTGTTTTTAAATGACCTAGAACAGATACATATTTTATAATACAATAATCTCAAAATAAGTCTTTCATTAAAAATTCCATATCAATCACACAGCTCTAACCAAAGTACCAAAATTTCAGTTATGTAGAGAATAATGAGACCTAATGAGGTCCTAAATGGGTAAAATAATATTTTAATATTGAAAACAGTATTAGCTGCTTCTATTTGCAGAAGTACCAGCTAGTCAATATTTAAATAATTGGTTGTACACTAGTCAGCCCTAGTTCAGTTATTAGGTATATTAACTATTAATTATTGTAACAGGTATATGTTTCTAATGATTGTTGGAGAATAGGATGGAAGGAGGAAACACCCTAGGAGAAATAGCTTGTTCTGCTTTGTTTTTCAGTCCTCTATGTTATGGTCCTATATGCCTCCTGTCCTCTGTCAGGAAGCGTTGTGTTTCTTTTGAATTTCTGGCAGCTTAGGATGCTACTTCAAAGTTTTAACTGAGAGGAAGCAAAAAGACTGTGATAATGTACGACATAGAGCTGATACTGCATACAACAGTAGAAGAGAGGAGTATGATCAACAGTATTACTAAGCTGCTTATCTTTGGCTCTTCAGAGTATCACTAGAGGGTGCCAGGTACCAGGCCATAATGATGAGCTGCTTCATACAAGTTATGAAGAAAAAATTCTTTTTATCTTAAACAAAGACAGACATTTGTAGGTGGAAAGCCATTAAAGAGTTTGTCATTTTACTGATACAGGAGAGTTAACTATAGCCCTTTGTTTAATCTGGAACAATTTGGATACATCTGAATTTCTGTTTCATCGCTTGGAACATTGTTCCAGAGATCAAGAAAATTTAGGTAGGATTTTCTATGGTATTCAATTTAGAAATAATGACATCCAAGTTAAATATATCCTGATTCATGTGCATCAGCATGATATTTTTGATGATTTGGTAAAGACTTCTGACAATTAAATGCATTTTCTGTCCTAATAATTTTTCTTTTATGTCATAGCTACAGTTACACATGTATGCATGTGTTTTTAAGATAGAGATGTCTATAATCTCACCATAGCAAAAATAGTACATTTTTGCTTAAACTAGAATAGAATCCATCAGTTCTGTCATCTAGATATTTGCTCCAAATTTTTACACTTGGAATATTTCAATTTTCCACTTCTTCCTACAGAATTGTTTTGATAGCCGAAAATGTTTTAGTATGTCCTTTCTTTGAAAAACTGTTGTATTACTCTTATTTGCATAACTAAAAAAATCGAGTCTGCTGAGGGTGTTGCAGCTTTATTATCATAGATAATTTCCTCATGGTTTGTTACAGAATCTCAGTAGTTGGCACTAGGCTGCACTTTAGCTCCACCCGTTCTAGAGTTACATCTATGATAGCAACATCTTCCGTATCTCAGAGTTTCTTCTTTCTGTCTCTCCTACTCCTTCGGAGAGCAGGCTACTGCGATTCTCTTTTTGATTCCTAAGGAGAATACACAGAAAACAAACAAATGAAAACCCCTACTGAAATCCACAGATAATGCCAATCCTATACTTGAACTTTTTAGACTTTAGATTTTATAATTGTTTACATTCCTTTATTCTTTGACGAATGCCATCCCTCAACACTGCATCTTTCATGTGTTTTTACTGGTGATGGCACAAGCTTATTAGATTCTACAGAATTTGCCTTCCATGCCTCAGTCCGATCCTTCCTTCATCATGCCCTTTGTTCTAATGTGTTTGGTGGATTTAGCAGTGTGTTTGCAAATTTCACGTGGAGGCTGAGCTGCACTACTAAAGCAATTTAAAATTTATTTGATTAATCAGATGTTGTGATGACCAGGTGAAGTGATCAGGACATTTTTTAATATCAGTTTAGCATACATCTGAACATATTATGTGATGCTTATATGTATTTCAGTTTACTTACATAGGAACTTTAACCTGACTAGTCACTCATTATTCTTATACAAATAAGCATTTTATCACAGTTATCAAAGACAATAAACGTGGATGCTCAGTTATAACATATACATTTATTTACTTCCTTTTAAGGTAAAAACGCACATCAAATCACCAACTGATTTTGAATGGTTAAAGCAGTCTAGATTCTACTTTAAAGAGGATTTCAGTCAAGTCTTGGTATCCATTACAGATGTTGATTTTGTTTACCAAAATGAATTTCTGGGTTGCACTGATCGTCTGGTTATAACACCTCTTACAGACAGGTTAGAAAAACAATTATACATAATGAATACTTTTAATATATAGTGTTTATTTAACATATATCTTCAAAGAGGTACATTCTGAACTAAGTCCTGTGTGGGCTAGGTCATTCATGAAAATCTTCTCATACATTGCTTAATCATACTCTTTTAGAAAAGGTAAAATACGGTCTCACTGATTTGTACACTTTGTAATTCCTAGAGAAGTTTTATCACTGCCCAGTCTTAAAAAAAAAAAAAAAAAAAAGATTTAGTAACAGCAATGAATCATTTTAAGGTTACATAGTAATGTTTAGCAGTATTTCTAAACTAAAGAAAAGATTAGATCAAATATTTCAAATTTTGTAATAAGGGATTCTATAAAGAGACTTTTGTGGCTAAACAAAAATTAGCCACAAAAGTCTAAGACAACCAGTCAGTGTCTGTCATCTTATTAATACTGGGAAATAGTTTAGATTTGTCCATAAAAATCTAGATCTTGACAAAGTCCCAGCTGTATGCACTCGCCTGCCGTTCTTCTGTAGCCAGGCAAGCAAATGACCATTAATTTTGTTTTAAATGTGGCTTAACAAGGAGAACTATTTTTCTTTTTTTCTCTTGGGAATTTCTTGGCTTCTTTTCTTGTCAAAATTCTTTCTCCGTTTATTCCTTTCTTGAGATATCACTTTTGACCAAATGAGAAAATAGAAGACCAAAAGATACTTCACTTGCAAAAAGATCCCCTCAAGAGCCAAAAATAACTTCCAACCTACAAAAATTTACTTTGCTACCTATGTGGAGTATGTGTCTGTACAGATTTTTGAACACCTTTATTTCTCTAGAAGAGATAGGACTTCTATTGTGACAATGTGGAAAGTTCAGTACATTTCTACAGTGAACTGTACTGCCCTCACCAATCGAATATTTTTGATGCAAAATGTTAAATTCTACTCCAAAATTTGCCTTGACCCCAGTCAAACTGTAGAAGTAAAACCTTTATTTCACTTTAAAGTTTCTTATTACTTAGAAAACATCAAGGTCCCTGCAGTGCAAGTTTGGCATAATGTATTATAGTGATTCAAGCTAAACAGTAGGAACTAGTTAGTTATTAAACTCTGTTCAATTATGGATTAAAACTGGAAATGCTTTAGTCAGAAATGCATTCAGATTATGTTCAGTTGATTTGACAGTGAAAATACCCCATCATTTGTATAGGAACTTTGCCATTTAATTCCTTTAGCATTACTCTTCCATGCCTTACCACGAATGAAAATCATAACTAAGACACATGTAACTACAACAGTAGTCTAAACTTTTTTAGTCTTAAAAAAAAAAAGCGGTAAAGCTTAGGTTTTTTTAGAACTGTAAAAATTTTTTGCCTGTAATTGTGGAAGGGACCATATATCTTTATTCTTTCACACTTGAGGATTTAGACAAAGGTAGCCTAACCTAATGAAATGTGTACAGATTAAGATACTGCAGAATATGATGGGGTGGCAGAATTCAACAGCAGAATCTGCTCTTTATAGCTGCCAAAAGAGTTAATGACAATTAAATTCCTTTATGTGGTGTGCATTAATTTTTTAGCTTGTCTGTAATAAAGTAGATTAACACCAGATACAAAGTTTTGCTTTTAGAAGTAATGTTTAAATTCTGTATTTTGTGGCTTTTACCACTCTGAACTTCCTGCAGTCACAGAAATCAATGGAACTGCTTTATGAAGAAGTAACATTTCAACATAAGAGCTGTAGAATCTGTCACATGACTCTATTATATATAATGCATACATCTTTCATATTATTTAATAAATTAATATGAATTAACATTTATAGGTGCTACATAACTTTAGCACAGGCTTTGGGAATGAACATGGGAGGAGCTCCAGCAGGACCAGCTGGAACCGGTAAAACAGAAACGACGAAAGACACGGGAAATGCTCTGGGAAAACACGTAGTAGTTTTTAACTGCTCTGATCAAATGGACTTCAGAGGTTTGGGTAGGATTTTCAAAGGCAAGACTTCTTTATCTAGGCTAGAATGACTAAATGACTCCACAGGCCATTTAGCAGATGCAGTTGAGCAGGTTGCTCAGGACCTAATTCATGTTGAGTTTTGACTATCTCCATGGATGGACGTTCCACAGCACCTCTGGGCCCTTGCTCAAGTGTTTGACCATCCCCATGGCAATATTTTTTTTATGCTTCCATTGACTTGGATTTTCCCATGTTGAAACCTGTGTCCATTGTCTCCTCTTCTTCCACTGCACCTCTGAGAAGAGGCTCACTCCAATTTCTCAGTGCCTCCTCTTAGCTAGTTACGAACAGCAATAGACTTTTCCCTTAGCTTGCTCTTCAGGGTCAACAAATCGTGTCCTCTCAGCCTCTCCCTCTGTGTCATGTCCTCCAGCCACTGACCATCATGGCACCCATCTGGTGGACTCGTGCAAGTATATCAGTGTCTCTCCTCTTGTGGTAAGCCCCAAACCAAACACAGTACTCCAGCTGCTATCTCCCAAGTGTAGAGTAGAGGCCAACAACGATTTTCTTCTACCTTCTGGCTACACTCTTGCCGAATACACAGCTGGCTTCGTGTACTACAAGGGCATAATTCTGATTGATGCTCAATTAGTTGTTAAGCAGGACACCAAGTCTTTTTCTGCAAAACTGCTTTGTAGGCAGCCAGCACTGAGCCTGTACTGCTGCATGGAGTTACCCTGTTCCAGATAAAGGACTTGAACTTCATGAGGTTTCTGTCAGCTCATTTTTCAAAGTTATGGTGTTGTATGTATTGATTATTTTTTTTAATATATTATTTTTTTAGCAAGCAAATAATTGTGACATAGAAGTGCCTAAAGCTATGGGTTTATAAACATAGTAGCCCTTTGAAAGTCAATCTTGGAGTACACGACAGAATCCCTTTAAAGTGATTTAGTCTTAACTGCGTAACAATAATATACCCTGAATGAACTGGATAAATTTTTCATTTTTAAATAGCTCTCAGTATACATGAAAGAGAGCTACTGCCTACTGGTACTTTAATACCATTTGAAAAAAAAAAAAGCTGCTACAAATTTTCTCATAAAATGTTGCTAAAGGAACAACTATTCTCTTAGTTGTTACTAAATACAAGTTACTTTTCCAAACTGAAATTAGGCAACTGTGAAATTAATCCTTTATGAAAATATTATTGTTATTAATATCATGCTTCTAGATTTCTGCTTCCATTTAATTTTCTTTCTATGTCTTCCTCTCTTTCTTTCACAGACAAATTCACACAGAGCATTGTCCACACTTTGCATGTTGTTAATATTCTGTACCATTACATGAAAAACTTGTAGTTTAGTGTGGACTTCAGATGATAATGCCTACGCGTAGAGATATATGCTCTAAGATTAATATTTTCTGTCTTGTGAGATTCAGAGTTTTATTTAAAACCCTAGTTCAAAATAATTTGAATTTTTAATTTTAACCTTTATGATTTGTAAGAGGCAAGTAAAAAGTAATTTAAAAGCATTCTGAAGGCTGGGAGACACAAATGAAAATAGAAAACTTGGGATATCTGTTGTAACATTTAGGGCTAGTCTTTTGTAGCTCTAAGTCACTAATTTTTAGTTTTTTTAGATTAACAATACATATTTTTGCAAATAATTGAATTGCTGCTTTATAATAAAAGGCTACATTTACAGAAAGATCTGGATGAAAGATCTGCCAAATGCCCCAAGATATCAAAAAAGTTTTTTCTGATTTTGATTCACTTTAAAGCATTTTGTATAAATCAACTAATATTAATTCAGATTGATATGGAAACAGTCAGGGGGATTGGAAGAAGCTAGGCCTTGGCCACAGGGCAATAAATAAAACTAATCTTACTTAATTATTTGAAGACATCTAGTTCAGATATCTCAAAGATCCATGAAGAACAACAGACAATAAATTTTTCTATCCCTGTTTTAGGTCTTGCGCAGTCTGGATCTTGGGGATGTTTTGATGAATTCAACTGAATTGAGTTGCCTGTCTTGTCAGTAGCAGCACAACAAATCTATATTATTTTAACAGCAAGAAAAGAAAGAAAAAAGAAGTTCATTTTTTCTGATGGAGACTGTGTAGATTTAAATCCAGAGTTTAGGATTTTCCTAACAATGGTAAATGTAGTAATAATTCCACAGAAGTGACAAATTATACTGTATACAAATTAATTAACTGAAGTTCATAAATACCTTTTGACTGCTTCTAATTTCTTAAATGTCACCTGTTTGATGTCAGAGTTATTCCTCATGTCTGCAGCAAGTTTCTAGAAATCTTCTATTAGTCAAACTTCCTTGGTCATTAAAAATTTCTTTCATATAATTTTGCTGTAAAGTTTTCATGTTTTAATTTTGTTGACTGTGTTATTTTTACTGTGTCATTACAAACTGTTCTCTGTGTATTCTTGAGCCATTATTAAAATCAGTTCTGTCACTAAAAGAGAGTTACAGTTTCTTATATGATTCTTACTTCAGTGGATAGGCTTCACTCACAAACTGTTAAACATTCAGTGAGATTCTGTATATTAAGGCTAGCCTTTTAGACACAAGAAATAGAGAAGGCATCCTAATATTTCTTCATTGTAGACTACTTGTTAGCTTTTTTTTTTTTTAATTATTATTGTTTTGGCTCTTTCTAGACACTGAATTTTTAATATGTTACAAAACCTACCTCTTCTGCAAAATAGTAATTAAAACTTTATTTGCATTGGGAATGTACTAGAAGAAAGGAACCAACTAGATTGTATTCCATGTTGTTATGATAAAGAAATTCAGTTATTAATCTGGCAATTATGCATAAGTTATTAAATTCGTGGTTATGGTTGAAGGTTTTTCCTTCACATTTTAATCATTAGTAGACAAGGGTTCTAACTCTGAACAGATCGAGGTATTTATGCATAAATTTACTTTTATGCAACAATGAAAAGGATGTTATTTTGACTGTTGTAAACGATAATGTAGTATGTTTTCTTGTATAGAATCCTGGATATGCTGGACGACAGGAACTACCAGAAAATCTCAAAATTCAGTTTAGAACTGTTGCAATGATGGTTCCAGATAGGCAGGTACAATTACTGACTGAACTGAAAGAAAAAATGTGTTTTACTTTGCTTACTTATCTTCAGAAAATTTTTATACATTATTTAAGTTCTAGATCATCTTCTGTAAACTTATTTTCTTGCTCTTTCAGCATGGTGATGTGAACTATATCTCTTTTGATTATTTTTCCAGGTGAAAATGTGTTTCTGATTTTAGATGGTCCTGTAGATGCAGTCTGGATTGAGAATCTAAATTCAGTTTTGGATGATAACAAGACCCTCACTCTAGCAAACAGAGATAGCATTCCTATGTCTCCTACATGTAAACTGTTATTTGAGGTCCACAACATCGATAATGCCTCTCCAGCAACAGTTTCTCGAAAGGGTATGGTCTACATCAGTTCTTCTGCCCTCAGCTGGAGACCAATATTGCAAGTAAGATTATCATTGCTGGCTACTCCGAACTTCACCTTGTTATACATTTTATACAGAAAAATATTGTGAATGTTTTTCAGGCATGGCTGAAAAAACGTTCTTCTCAAGAAGCTGAAGTTTTACAAAGTTTGTATGATAGAATCTTTGAACCAGCATATGCATATATGAAAATAAATCTTAATCCAAAAATGGAGCTTCTGGAGTGTAACTACATTATGCAGGTAAAACAGATATTGTGTAAGTCTGTATGAATTGACTGACTATAGTAAGCATGCAGAAATAGCAAAGAGAACATTTGATAGCAATAAAATTTGTTTTGAAAAGATTGTTTCCTAACAAAGAAAACCTCAAACTTGTAAGTTGTTTCTTAGGGAATATAAGAGGAACTGTTAGAGATGTACAGAAGAAAATTTTACTTCTCTTTATTGCTTCATATGTAGGCTAGCCTTCTGTGACTGGAATTTGCAGGCTTCAGTAAGTTTTCAGAATATGTTTAATAAGCTAGTGGTGTCATTTCAGTTCTTTTAATATCAAACAAATTGTGGTAAGGGTCAGTCTAACCCTACTGGTAGTGTCAGCAGAGTGAAGAATAATTCTAACTATCTTTTTATCTCCAGATGTAATAACTGTGATTCTGTCAGTCAGCTCTTGCAAGGTCAATGTAGTAATTTTTACCTGTCCCTTCCTATCAACCAGAATTCTACCCTGAGTGGAGCCCAAACTTTATCAGTGATTTATTAATAACAAAATTATGTGTTTGGCAGATTTTACAAGACTATCAGTCCTATACTGCATATCTCCAGCTGATTTGTTTATGAGTCTGTTACCATCTGCAGATTCTAGGTCTCCAGACTTTTCCTTTGTCCATGTAATCTCAGTTTTATATTGACACTCTCAAATTCAGTAGTGCCTATGAGTAAGAGGGTAGGCAAGATAATATTTTGCATAACACTTTAAAGATTAAATTAGTAAATTTGCACCCAATATCTCTTTACTGTTCATTAGGGATTTAGCTTCAGATTTTCAACAATATAAAGTATTTTGCTGCAAATTAATAGCCACAGTAAATGCTCCAAAGATTAACTACACAGTATCAAATGGAATTAGGGTATCTATAGAATTGAAGTCCACAGGCAGAAACTATGTAACTTGCCAATTTATGATGACAAACAAGATGGACAAGTTATGCACAAAATTTTCAGAGAGAGATAATATTTTTTTCTTCTACTTTTGTTATCTGTGAAACTTCTGACTGAATTGATGTTGTCTTCATGGAAGACTTTTCCTGGGACTAGAAGTTTCTACGTTATTTCTGATTAGGGCTTGTTAGGAAGTGTGAGCAAGTCAGTGTTTTACTCATACTGCTTGGTCAGGGAAATATTTCCGTGATTTAATCTGTATCAAATGTTTGTTCCTGTGAATGAAAAACTCTAGTAAATTTCTGTCACAGATGCGACAGAGTAAATAAGTCTTAGTAGATCTCCATGCTGGGATTTATCTAAGAACTGGCATGACCAGAGCTTTTACCCTACGTGATAATTTCACAGATTCACTTCCTCACTTGCTTCCCCCCCCAGTGTTACATGCATTTAGTTTTGATTTCTCTTCCCAGCAAGGATTTCATTCTTGGTGTGGAAAGGTAAGGCAAAAAGTTGTGTTGGTTTCTGTCCTGTACAGCTGCTTGCAGCTACTAGGATTGGGCTTTACTTGACAAGGTTTCTTCGTGTCATCCAGCGTTTGTCTACATGCATCTCTGATCTCCAAGATCTTCCCCCGTTTCCAGGATCTTTCCTCCAACCAGGATCTTCATCTCCTTCTTTCTAGGTGCTTTTTTTTCCAAGACCACTTCTTTTGAGAACCCTTCTTTTCCACACCGCCTCTCGTTTCCAGAACCTTAAGAACCCAGTTTTGCCATAAATGGTCTATGTGCAGAAGCACTGTACCTTATTAGCCTCCTGATTAGGGGTTCTGTTGACACAGTTTTTCGGGAGGGTTATCCTGCCTTACAAAACCATTGGAAAAAATAAACTGAGTAGCTAAAGGAGATGTGATTGCTATGATGCACGTGAAGGAGCAAAGGTGTTTGATGAAGTTCTTTACCAGAAATTTACATGGAAGCTAAGCAGTCATGGCAGAAGATAGGAGCTTAATTTCTAGATAAATAACTGATTAGAAGGTAGGAAATGTGTGATTGGCGTATCAGTTCTTAGGAAGGACAGAAGTTACCGCAGATCCTGATGTACCTTTGCTGGGACCAATGCTGTTCAAAATGTTCATAAACAATTTGGAAAAGTTTTAGGTGAAGAAGTTTACTGATGATACTAAATTATTCAGGGTAGTAAGGACAAAACAGCTAACCATGAAGAACTGAAGACTGACTTTATGAGACTGAATAAATAGGTAATAAAATGGCAAATGAAATTCAGTGAAGGTAAGCATGAAGGAGTTCACATAGGGGGAAAAACAAACTGTTCAATGCTATGAATAGCAGACCTATGGAACACCTTGCCAAAGGGTGTTCTAGGTGATAAAATTTTATGTAGGATCAAGACCAGTCTTGATTTTCAGGGTGGAAAAATCCATAGAGGATTGCTAAACCCAGAAAAACTGTTTTTGGATGAGAAAGCCCCAAGGTGAAGAGAGTACCAGCAGGAAGTACCACCCTCAGTGCCACCACAAGCCAAGAGAGTTTTTTCTTTGTTTTTGCTCTTCTCCAAGTGTCCACTTTTGGTCACTATTGCAGATGAGATGCTCGGCAAGCTGAAGTTTTCATCTGATTAGTTGCAACCATTTGTGTGTTTTTATAAGACAGTTTAATTTTTTCTGATTTCTTTCTTCAAAAACTTTTTACAGAATTTTGCTAAGACCCAGAGCATCATGGAAAATTTTGAACTCAAGCTTGAATTTGAGGTAACATACAGATTTTGTTCAAATAAACTAGGACACAGCCTATCCTGGAAATAATTAGATAAACTGACAGTCTTCCAAAGAAAAGAAGTGTCATTATTTTAATGTTATGAAGTAATTAATACTGATTAATCTTTTTTTTTTAAACCAAATTTTAAAGTAGTCAAAAGTTTTCTAACTATGTCCTTTAGCCTGTGTTAAAAGCGTATGCTACTGCATTACTTCCCACTTCAAGTATGAGATCCAAGACAGCATAAAGAGTACTAATCCCAAGAGCTGATTGAAAAACAGCTTCTCTATTAAAAAGACATATTTTGAAATTATGTGCTTGACACTGCCTTGTGTAGAATGGGAATATGAGTGTTGTGATCTAAGGCAGTCAAACATCTGGCTTCAAGAGTGACATCACAGAATTGTAGATAGCAAGTCACTAGATTTCTAGAATCCGGAATCTAGTTCTTTAGAAACAGAGTGAAGAAATCATAAAATAGGATATTTTAATCTATTTTTTTTTAAACTCAAAATATAAGTTAATGTGATAGATGCATTACTTGACCTTAATTGAGATAAATACATTAGACAGATGCTGAAAATTGTTCCATGCTTAAAGATGGAAAGAAATGGCTGGGTCCCCTCTACTCTTGGAGTTCTGAATATGCCACTAGATGTTATAAAATCCCTTAAAAATATCTTCTGTTACCCTAGCTCTTAAATGACATTTATTATGTAGGCATAGTTTAAAAGGATAGTTGATCAAATTACTTAAGCAATTTTGAAAAATTTATCCAATTTTATGTAGATATCTTTAATCTATTTTCTTGGGTTTGTAGTTCTGAATTTTATGTTATTCTTTAGTAACCTGTATTGGTTTTCAAATTATGTTTTAAAGTTTGAATATATAAAAATATGTATAAACATTAAAAGTGATTATGTAATATTTTCTTAATGTATAGTATTTTAAAATATTTTCAGTCTATTAATCTTCTGGACAGTTTGATTCTATTGAAGGAAGAAGGTGGTTTATCATCTATATTTCATCTGCATAAATTGTTCTGCTTTGCAATAATGTGGAGTTTAGGTGCCCTTCTAGAGTTGGACGGTAGAGATAAACTTGAAGCCCTCATTAGAGCTCATGACAACAAGTTAGAGTTACCAGAAGTCTCCCTTGGCACCAGTCAAACAATGTATGACTTTTATGTTACTGATTACGGTAAGAAAAGCACTAACATTTGTATTAGTATGTTACTAATATATTAGTAATATATTAGTAATATATTGGTATTTTAAAAGTGAGTGTAGCTTCTTTGAAATTTAAAATTGGTCCTTTAGTCCTTATTAAACAGTCATATGAATGGACATTTCTGATGATGATGATATAGTAGTAACACACATTCTGTATGCAGCACCTCTTTGGAGGTGAGAACTCAGAAACAAGGGGTAGAGTGCTCATTGGTAACTTTTTCTTATTTCTTATTTCTTTTGTTTTTAATTTCATTCTCGTAGATTTCTTTTCTATTAACTCAACCAGACTACAATTATTAGATAACTTATGCTTAGGCTGTTTCATTCTAAATTAATATTAATTTTATATTTAATTTCTACAGCTAGTATTTTTTGTTAAAAATATAACTCGATTTTAATTCCACTTAATAATTATTATTTATCCACGTCTGATAATCAGTAATAAATCTTACAGTTTATAAAACTGTAAGAATAGTGTGACGTTTTGAATATTGATATTTTGAGTAGTGTGATATTTTCCGCAACAAGTTTGTGTTTTAAATAAAAGACACATACAAGCAATTTCACAAAGAATTTACTGTTCTTTCAGAGTATATTGTCACATGAATACATCTATTTCTTTTGTATCCAAATTCAGGGTTTTTTTTGCCAGCTATGTTGATTTAGTGTACACATACGCAATCCATATCCTCAACGTTCTATAATTTTTCACCAGCAGCATGAGAATTAGTTTCTAGGTAAACATTCTTTTGGGTTTTTTATTTAGAAAGCTAGGTATAAATTTAAGAAATATGTGTATATCTAGCAGGATTGTAGACTAATCAGAGGTCATGACTAAATATGTCCTTTGTTAGATGCATTTTAGCTAGATTTGAGAAAATTTATCCCTTTTGATGCTTTGTAGTATTTCACCCATAATATCTAGGATTAAAGGATTATTTATTTTTTGTACTAACAAAATGTTGAATACAATCAAAATATTGTGATACTTTCCTTTTTTTTTTTTTTTTTTTTTTTTTTTTTTTTTTTTTTGTCATTTTAGGTGACTGGGAGCACTGGAATAAAAAGGTTCAGGAATATGTTTATCTAACAGATAATGTCCCAGACTATGCATCTATTCTGGTTCCAAATGTTGATAATGTCAGAACTCAGTTTTTGATAGACACAATTGCAAAACAACAGAAAGTAAGTACAGGATTACTTACTTACACATATGCCTACTATATGAAATACATAGAAGCGTACTTATAAAGTAACTGAGGGTTGCAATCATTCTTCATGTTCTCCGTTCTAGTTATTGCGTTCCAGGTGCATCACTATTTACATATTGCTTTATTTTTATTTTCTTAACATGAATCCTCTGTACTTATTTCTATGCATGGGCCAAACATTTAATATATCCTTTTTATAAAATAATAAGTTTTAACTCCAACAACCTATCATTTTTCTCAAAGAAATATATAAAACCTTGTTCTTAGTCTTTACACCATATTAATTTTTCTGATTTGTGCTTCTTTGAAAAGGAAAAAAAGGAAAATAAATTTCACTAGGTAGTTCACTAAAAACCTGAAATTCCTAGCTTTTACTTTGTTTTTTTCTCTTATTAGGAAAGCTGTAGTTAATAGCAGTAGCCACAGCTATAGAAAAGGAGACTACTCCTCATACAGCTTTAACCAATAAGGACCAATCTGGTGTCATGGCTTTTTACTCAGGACGCATTAAACAATAGTTATTAAAACATATATAGGCCTATTTTCAAACAGAGGAAGATCTGAAAAATATGTATTTTGCTTTAGCATAATGGTCTTAACTCTAGCAACTTTCTGTGGAAATCTGTGTCAGCCTGTGAAATATAGTCAATGTAATCTCTTCCTAGTAGCTGGAAATACCACAACTGCATAAGCCAGTGCTGGAACCTGTTTTTTCTGTAAAATTCTGGGATTTGGACAGAAAACCTGTTGATTGGATTTGATGGAAATGTTCCAGAGGCCATAATGTGGCTGTGCCTTTGGTGTATCTGACACAAATTATGAAAACATGCAAAATCTTTATATTTGGAAACAAATAATTAATTTTTGTACATTAATGCCTTGGGAGATATTATTATATTTATTAAATTATATTTCCAGGTACATTCTTTTGGCCATCTTTGCAATAGAAATAACAAACATTTAAATCTTCCAAAAAGAGTCTCTGAAACCTGGCCTTTTCCACAATTCAGTGTTTCTGTGGTGTATAGTTTATATCTTTACTCTCTTCAGTTGAAAAGTTTCAGCGTTCAGTGTGCAATGGGACTTGTCTATGCTTCCCTGTTGAGCAGAACGTTCACCTCCATGGAAGTAGTGAGCTTGCTTTGTTTTCAAGCATTTTTTTATTTGTTAAGGTTTGATTTAAACACATATTGAACTGTGATAGAGAAAGATCTTTTTTTTTTTTTTTTTTTTTGTCCCCCCTGGATCAGATCACAGCAGCATGAACTTTCTTTCCAGCTACAGCTGAATTACATGTACTAGATGAAACCTAAGTGGCGTTTTACAGGTTTGACTTTACTTGTTGGCTCTGTGAGATTATTACTATCATCTGTGTAATCATGGTCAACTGATCACATAGATGTTCAAAAACAGGGTGAAGAATGAGACCATGTGGTATCATTGTGGCTATCTGTTGGTGAGCATTAATTTAAAGCAAGAGCAAGTCAGGAGTATCTGAGCATTTCAAATCTCCTGCATTATCAACTTCAGTGCTCACAGTCATAAATAAATAAATAGTCTGGTTTGCAAACTGATTAAACTCCTTTCATGGCGTGGACATAATAATTAAGATAATACCATCTGTCAAAAACATAAGTAGGATGAAAATCTGAGCTACAAAAAAATCATGCAGTATTCTTACCTGTCTCAAAAAAGAGCAGGGTTCTTAATTAGCTCACTTTCATGAGATGAAATGGGTAGTTTCTATAAAAGGTTTAAGAGAGGAAAGAAGTATTAATCCTTTGGTTCAGCAACTTTCTGATTTAGCTTCAGGTTTTACCAAGATAAGAAGGAGGCCACTTTCTTTTCTTGACACACTTATTCTTTTTTTTTTCATGGAAATGACACTTAGTGTATAGATTTAACCAGAGAGTAAGTTTTATAATGTTATATATTTAAATATGTAATATTAAGAGAAAGCAGAAATAAAGTACTTCCTATCAAAATCTCAGCTTGAAAGAAGAATTTTCTGCACCTTTAATTTGAATAAGCCACCAGAGAGGAGTAAAAATGCTTTGAAAATAGAAATATGTATAGTGAGGCATACGGTAAGATAGTATGACTTGTAAGAGCCATAAGTGCCGTATTAGAAGCATCAAATGCTTCTGTCGTAAATACTGCAGTGATAAGGAGACAGAAAAATTATATTCTCATCAAAAGGGAGTTTGTTTCCAATAATGAAACAATCAGTAAGGAGAAACAAATTTTGGGAAAAATTCTAAGATTTCCTGACTGTTCTGAGAACATCCTTGGCCAAAATCTGCTTTGTCTATCTTGATATCCTGACTAAGTGATCTAAAGGCCCTATGCAATAGCAATCATCTTGTTGCTAAAAGTATTCTGAAAAAAAATGCATTGGTTTCATATTCCTCCATGTCTGTTTAGAGAAAGAATCAAGCATGTCCATGACAGCCAGTCGATGAAATTCAGTACACAACGCACAGGTCAGGTTTGATTCCAATTCTGAAAAACATACCGCTGTCAGAGGGCACATGGACTCTTTAAGAATCCAGAAGGCCTTTCTTGCCAAGTCAGTTTATGTTGGCATAATTAGGCTGGGGAACCTAGGTAACAGGCTTCAAATTCCAGTTTAGGAGAAGGAAAGGAAGGATGATGGTGTTTTTGAGGAAAGTTGAAGAATAACTGCCCGCTTTGAAAACAGGTGATTTTCCTTTGTTACTGTTAACTAGGAGTAGTTTTCAGTTCCTTTTGGGAGTGGAATTCAGAGTTTCACTGATAAATTACTTCTCTCCTACTGGTTTCACTGGCCTAACAGGGGACATGAGTAGTATAATACTCACTGCAAATTCATGTTATGTATCTCCTCACACATTCAGTTTAGAGACAAAGATTGGATCCGGTATATTAGACAATATATGGAAATATAAGAGGAACTTCAAAAAGAACTACGTTTCTAGGGGTGGAATTCAACAGTCTTTCACCCATCTAATTGTCTGCTGCCTTTACTAACATTTACCACAAAGCCATAGATATTTCTGGGTCAGTTAAGACTTTTGTACACAGTTCAGTATCTGTTATTCTTATTTGTAATTATCATTACATCATGTCTCTACAGACCTTTAGAGTATCTCTTTTAGTAATATGATTGAGAGCGGTTTTACGTAAATCCAATCTATGCTGTATTGTTGCTTTAAGGACAGTTCTGGGAAGAAGGAACTATCCTTCTATTACAAGCATGTGTCACAAAGAATACCTATAGCCAAACCAAATAGTAGAAATTTTATATTCAAATTAGATGCTAGAGGCTACTTTCCTTTATAAAGAAAGCCTTCTTAGGGTCATCCACTACAAGAGACTGCTGCGGTGGATGTGTTCGAAAGTGGAAGTTGGGCAACTGGAAGAAAAACCTCTAGTACGTTCTCGCTTCAACCTTTTTCTTTTGACTCTGTAAGTGATTTTCCTAAGAATCTGGGTGGGATGAAAACCACATACTGTGTCACTGCTTATGGAGACACAGGAAAAACTTACTCAAATAATATATCATTCAAAAGCAGATGCAGAAAGTATCCCTTTCTCTAAAATAAGTCTGTTATGTATATTTAATTATAAGTTTTGATACTACTTATGTGAAGTAAATATCTGTTACAGGCGGTTTTGCTCACAGGAGAACAGGGAACTGCGAAGACAGTCATGATTAAGGCATATATGAAGAAATATGACCCAGAAGAGCGTTTGTCAAAATGTTTAAACTTTTCATCTGCCACAGAACCATTTATGTTTCAGGTAAAAATATAGATATTAAGCAATTCTTGCATATCATTTCCTTGTTAGGTATTTAAAGTGTACTTAATTCTGATGATAAAAGAAGTGATTTAGGAATAAAGTCTGAAGGATCCTTTTCCTCTAAGTCACTTAAACACTTCAAAAAATTCCATAAAAAATAATTTTTGTAGATCAGAATAAAATACAGTCGCTCACATAGATATATCTATATTTGTGATTGCTGTGTGCTTTTTCGTTATGGAATTCTAAGAATCCCTTATTTGCTGAAGACCTTTCCTTTTCATTTTAGATTAATGAAAATTTTGGTTATACTTCTTCAGTTTTTTCCTGATTCTTTAGTTTCTAACTGTAATTTTTGCTTTTGTTCAATAAAAAGCAGATTTCAATTTATAGATCCTTTTATTTTTCCTCAGCTCAGGATTGACTACACATCAAAAATTCAATCTTTAAGGTCCTCAAGAATAGCAACTTTGTAGAGATTTCTTTTCCCCATATAACTGCTAAAAATCCGTATAAATGTAAACAAATACTACAGATAGTTTTTGCAAGTAATTGCAAGGATGATTTATACGACTGTGTTATGATTCAATATTACTGATTTGCTAGGATGTGATCATGTAAGTTGAATTAGCTTCATTACCAATTCAAAGCAATGAATTTGTGGTGAAAATCCTGCAGTAGGGTAAAGTAATCATCTTGGAATATTTCTTGATTGAAAAATCTGTTCATGGAGCAGGTCTTACAAACTCCATCCCAAAATCAAGCATCTTTTTTTAAGAAGCTAATGTAAACGTTATTAAGAAAATAGTGAAAAGTAATGGCTTATATATCTATTTTTTTAAAATTTCAAACTCACAGAATATCTACCGAGCTTTTCTGTTATGTGCAAGATCTCTGGCTGTGGTTTATATCAAACTGTGAAACAGAATAAGGCAGGCATCCTTTCGTGCATGCAAGATCAATTGTACAATCAGTATCTCTGTCTCAGTGTCCTTTACTTAGTGTATTATGGGTCCCTAGAACATTACTGTCTTGAGAACAAAACCCAGACTTCCTCATCTCTGGTACAGAGTGTCTGTGAAAGGATCTTACTGTGTCTTGTCTCTGCTGCAGTCCTGTAGTACCTCAGAAGATAAGCTCTTTCTTTTTGGCTAGCTAGGTGAATACACAGCTCACTCTGCTGATTTCCGAGAGAGAGATGCAGCAGAAAAACACTTGAAATGCTTCGAAACACTTGAAAGAGCCACACTCAAAATAGCTTTTTAATTCTGAGTCATCATCCTGAGTTTATTTGAAAGACTGAGTGATTTTGGATGTGTTAGATGTGCTACAAAGTTCTTGATTGCTTATGTAGTCACTCTCTCTTAGCAGTTTCTCTTTTTCACCTTAATCATGTATCTTCAAAATGAAACAATGATGCTCACGATGTTCTATATGTGTTTACCTTAAAACACTCAGCTAATTATTTTCTGTTGTGAGAAAATGGGACAAAAACATTGGACAAAACTTGTATCTGCTTTCTGTTTCAAAAATGGCATCAATACTTCTGTCTTTACAACAGCACATGCCACATTACTCATATAGGATGACATTTATGCTTGTAAAACTAAGAAATTATTTATCTAAGGAAAATCTTTGCTGCCGTCTTGTAAGGTATTTTTTTCTGCCATTGTCTATGTACCCAGTACCTTTAGAAAGACTGTAGAGCTATAGAACTTTGAAGATATATTTCAATTACATATCAATGTCTTATTTGTCTATTGCATCCTGATTCTTATTTAGTTCAAAACTCAGTCTTAAAAGATTATTGCCACCAAAATGTTAAAATACTGCATTACTTAGCTTACAAGACATCTGGGAAATCATTGTAAAAGGAATCTAAGTTGCCTTTATACAGTCTGCAGTTACTACTGACTGCACATACTGTATATTTCTGTATGTATTTTTTCTTAAATAATCTTAATTAACTAGCTGGGATATGAGAGAGATTGTAGACCAGATTGTTGATGATAATGAAAATTAAATGATTGCTATTTTTGTGGAGTAGTTTTACTTGAATGTCAGAGCAAACAATACGCTTAAGGGAGTGGTTTGTTCCCACTCCTTCTTAAGCCAGGTATTTGAAGTGGCTTTGGAGGGTCATATAGAGTGATCAGATTTCCTTGTGCACATGCAGCTTTCAAGTTAGACTGCTGATTTGGAATATCTTCTGTAAAAATTTCTGTGGAAAACTGAATAAACTTATAGTTCCTTTAGAAAGATTCTTTAAGATCTGCTAAGTCTTAATAAATAAAGAATTAGTTTCCAATAATTTATGTTCCATTGTTGGATCAAATAATTATTTTTCCCCCCTGAACACAAGAGAACAATCCTTTCTCCAAAGGTCAGTAGTTCCTACAATCTTCATTTGAGGTGTGATTAGAAGCACAAAGCTTATACCAAATGGTTCTGAAGCCATTAATTAGAACCCACAGCGGTTCTAAATAATCCCTATATTTGCCTGGAGGGGAATGCTACTTTTATAATGTACCCTAACTTCTGCCTTTGGTAATCAATTGTTATTTTCATAACAAATTCGAATAGTGAAATAAAATTCCTCTCTTTGGCATTTCAAAGAATGTAATTTTTTTCTGGTCAATATTATCGAATCAAACAAAGCTCATTTTCCTCTGCTTAATACTATTCTAACTTACTCCACAGGTGAAAGTTGGTGATAAGGAAGTAGATGTTATGAGTTCTTTTAGACTGTACATTACTACAAAGCTACCCAATCCTGCTTTCACACCTGAAATTAATACAAAAACATCAATTATTGATTTTACTGTTACAATGAAAGGACTTGAGAATCAGTTACTGAGGAGTAATTCTTACTGAAAAACAGGTAACCTAACAGTACACACAAACTGTAGTGATGCTTTTTTTTTTTAACTGTTTTTAGTTTGTAGGTTGGAAAAAATGTTCAAATGGAAAAAAGACATCAGCTATTTTCTAAAATTTTATTCAGATTCAGTATAGAAATTTTGAAATAACAATAATACACCTAGAGGATCTTCTATATATGACTGTCAGTATGACACAAACAATTAAGCAGAAGCATTTGGCATTGATAACATACTTCATAAGATACTGAATAAACACTGCTAAAAAAAAAAAAAAAAAGGATGTTATGAAACCATGTTTTACATACCTGAAAAAGTAAAATGCACATTTCATGACTGGATCCAGCTCTTCACCTGTATCGTCAATCACATTTCATGAATTTGAAAAATCAGCAACTGAATTTTAAGTATGACTCAGTTACAGTCCATAAAGTGTCACGTCATTTTCTTATTTTTTAATAATAAGAACTAGAGGCAGAATGAATTAAACTCATGGAAGACATAACTTTTAATAAGAGGAAGATGAAAGAACTGGAAGACAATCTTCTGTACAAACTAAGTGCAACCACAGGTTCTGTATCAAAGGGTTAAGCAGATTAGGCAGATTAAGCTGATTCACATTAGAATCTTTGCCTACAGAAATTTATTTATCCATCCAAGATACAATAAGAGAACATCTAATGGTAGAAATCTGAAGTATGGTGATTTACCAGAGTATGAGAGATTTGGTACTATAGCATGAGCCTATATACAACCCTAGACACTAAGTACTTTTAACACCTAAAGAAATTTTGTGAAATAAAACAATTTCTTGAGAGCTTTCTGCCCCTCAAATGAGATAAAGTATCTGATCATGGGCAAATCCTTAACCCAAAGAACATATGGAGTAAAATAGGCTAGCTTAAATGGCGTTGAAAGTCTTTTGCAGTATATTAGGAGCCTGCACATGATCAATTACTATCTCTTTGGTGGAGAAAGAAGGTGGTAACTTCCAGCAAATCGATCAGTAAGTACTTGAGATGCATGAATACTGTTGTGTTACCATTGCCTTTAGGACCCTAAGTCTTTTTAAGTTTGTGTACCAATCAACAGACTTTAAAATGATTAAAGTACTGTTTATGAATATGTATGTTATGTGCATAAGAAAGCTGACTTCTATAGTACATGCTGCAAAGCTGTTGGTGTAGATATACTCATATTGACATAGGTTGAATGCATTTGTTTAGCATGTTGAATGTAAAAATAATTTTTAATATTACATTATTACATATCCTGTTTGGTCTCCATTTTGAAAGCTTTTTTTTTTTTTAAATAATTCCTGTAATTTGGCCTTTTGATTTTTACATATATGGAGTGAAAATATTGATATAAAAATGTCCTAAACATCAAATATTTGACTTTTTAGGCTCACTAGTAGATGATGAATCCTTGATCGGTGTTCTGCAAACAACTAAGCAAACAGCTGCTGAAGTAGCTGAAAAGTTGTCTGTGGCAGCAGAAACTGAAGTGAAGATTAACACTGCTCAGGAGGAATATCGACCTGCTGCTACACGTGGAAGCATTCTTTATTTTCTTATTACAGAAATGAGCATGGTCAATAATATGTACCAAACTTCACTGGCTCAGTTCTTGAAGTTACTTGATCAATCCATGGCCAAGTAGGGAGAAACAGATTTTTCTACTATTCAGATGTTTGTATTTCCAATGTATTTGCTGTTACTAACATGCTTTCTTTGTGCTTTGTTTTAATGATTCAGATCTAAGAAGTCTCCTTTACCTCAGAAAAGAATCTCAAATATTATTGAGTATCTTACCTTTGAAATTTACTCATATTCTGTTAGAGGCTTGCATGAAAACCACGAATTCCTCTTTACGCTACTCCTGACATTAAAAATTGATCTTGAGAGAGGACATGTGAAAAGCAGGGAGTTCCATGCACTCATTAGAGGTAAGTTTAAAAAACTGTGTTATAAGTAGAGCTAATTTCAACTTTTAAAACTCTCATACCATTTCAAAGTATGATTTTTTTGCTGCATGGTTTCTACCAATAGTTCTGTGGGAGCTGCCTCTGTCCTTATTACTGCTGTGGTCCCGTGAAGTTAGATGCAGTTCCCCATCTCAGTTCTGCCTCTGCCATTTACCCAGCCTGCGTTCTATCCTGATATCGAGATGATAGTTCTGCTTCTCTCTATCAATTGGTTTAATAATTGTATTTTTTTGTATTATGTTTGTATCCTTATTTTTTAAATTAGTTGACATCTTGCTCCTTTGCTTCTCTGCTTTGATGGAGCTGAATAAAGCTGTCTTCTATGTTGCCAGAACAGCTCCACGTAAAATCCAGGAGGTGCTACAGTCTTGTATCAGTTTCAGCTTGAGTTTTCTCTGACTTTTGCCAACCAGCTAACACCGACTTTTAGAGAACATAATGTGTTTCTGTGGCCCATTTGGCCAGGTCTGCTTCCTCTGTACTCTGTGAATTTGTGCCTCTGCTGAAAAATGTGATCAGGATTGCTTATGCAGAGATGTATATAAAAACCTGTTTGAATTTTACAGTTCAAATGAATCTTGCAAAGGTTTAATGTCAAAATAGTGAACCTAGATTTGAAGACAATTACCTGACTTTAATGAATAAAAAGGATAGGAAACAAGATTAAATTCACTTTCTGTTTGGCTTTCCAGTTTGTTGTAATGGTTTAATCCTTTGAGAATGGTATCCAGTTACCATTTTACCACTGATGTCAGGCAGGGCATGCTTGGAAATGCTTTCAAAATGAGCTGTCTGCTTCAGTAAAGCATTAGACAAGGAACCATATTTCTTGGCTTCTCAGCTCACGGATTCTTGTTTTGCCTGACGAAAATATACCTTGGGCATCTGAAGCAAATGGTCACTTACCCCTTTTCAACTGCTGAGAATCTATAATAAAATACAGGATTACTTTTAGCAATTTTTGTCTGGAACTTATGATTGCAATTTCCTGCCTAGCTTTACCACAGTTGATAGTGACAAATTTTTCTGGTGTGTAAATGACACCAAAGTAACAATAGTTTTTCTATAATTATTCGCTTGATATTAAATAAGATTGGGCAGTGGGCAGATGCCTAGCCAAATTGCCCTGGACTCTTAGGCATCTTCTGCAATGAATGAATTGTTCAGTTTTCCTCCTTGGATGAGCAGTTCTTTGTGCAACATGAGTGTCATGTTACAAAACATCATCAGGCAGCTGAAGAAAGGATTTATTTGAAAAATAAATCTCTCTTCCTCCTCTTTCCATTTCTTTTCCAGGATAGCTTTCATGGCTTATCATCAGCCATATTATCAGGGGATGTCTCGGTGAAATAAGCATTGCTATTTGAAATGAAAAAGTCTCTAGAACTCATTATTCAGCTAGTCTCGGGAGATTATCAACTCTAAATCTTTCCTTCTGCTAAAGTACATAAAATCAATTTCATTCTAGTTACTGTATTCCATTAAAGCCAAACACTAGGCCCTTCCTGAGTATTTTAATGCTATAGCTTAAAGGTAACCTTAAGTCAGCAAAAGAGAGAAAGCAGGTCCCCAATTTATAGGAAAATAACCTCTCATGATGATGCCATAGAATTTTTATTAAAACTGTAGAAAGAAACAAAATCCGATAGATTTGAGAAAATCTAAGGAGTTCATTGATGATTTTGTAGGTATCTTGACACTAAGGTAGTCTGTGTCCTTTACCAGTTGAAAATGAGGGACTGGCACAAGTGAAGAATATGATCTTCTCTAGCAGAGTATATATTTTACTAGGAAGCTCCATAAATATTAGAGAGCATGTTACAGAGGAATTGCAAAACATCTTTGGCTTTATTGACTTAAATAAAAGGAAGAAATATTGCCAAGTATGGTATTTTGTGGACAATTAATGATTACATCTTAAAATTAAGAAAAGTCGTTTTGGCTGAAGTGATTGTGATTCTCTCACAGAATTCAATAATTCGCAAAAATTGGCCTATTGTATTAAATTTATGAAAGATATGATTCTGGAACAGATTATTATTTTGTAATGGAAGTACTAACAAGAGATTACAGATTTGTGTAAACATTTTTTGTTATCCTGTCTTTGATTTCCATTATTTCAGTTTGCAGAGACTAAGAGGAAGTTCTGGGATCCATACGTGGATCCCAGGCAATTATTTCAAACTATATATCCTAATGCCAAAGACATAAGAGGATACTGGAAGGAAACTTTAACAGGTAGTTACAGAAAATGCAGGAAAATCAGTATTTGCACCTCAGGCGTCATGAAGCAGCCCTTTCTTTCTGTGAGGTTACTGAAGCTTGTCATCCCTGGGGTAAAGGGAAGGAGAAAAAGCACAACAGTGGGAAAACTTCATAATAAAAGCAAATGAAGCATGCATGTAAAACTTGAAAGTATTGAAATAATAACAGCTCATATATATAGACGATGTATAGACATACATACATGCTTACATACATATAAGTGCTTAAAAATTATAGTTATTATTCCACGGTGGTTTTTCAGTCTGTTTGTAACAAGTTGGTGAAAGTCATTGTACCAGTGACCTAAATGAATAAATGATCTTAGTTGTGGAGACCACCCAGAACAACACCCTCTAGTTTTCCCAAGAATTTGCATCAATTAGTTTCTGGAGGACTGGGGAAGAGGCAACTACAACAAGAAGAAATTTATGATAAAAAGTTGATTATGATAAAAAGTTAAAAGTTAGTCTGTTTAAAATTGAATTGCAGTCTTATCCCGAGGTGTTCCTTCGTATTTCCTCTTCAATTGCAAATCAGATGATGTGAAACACGTGTATTATCTACTGACTCTCTGGCCTTATATATGCTATTTAAAATGATTTCTGCTTGTTAGGCTGGTCTAGGATTTATTGATTCCATCAGTCCAGAGTTTCTTTCTTCTCTTGTTGTGTTTGTTTTTTTTTTGCAAGGATCCCAGGAGATTACTTTGCTAACATGTGTGACATTCTGTAGATATTTGCAACTATGTGTTTCATTAGAGAAAAGGTAGAAGTTTGCAGTTGAGAAAATAAGACTTTCTTTTCCATTTCTTTTCTTTTTAGGAATAGTGGGATAAAATATAGAGTGTCTAAGGGAAGGTCTTCAGAGGAATATTTTTATATTTCAGATAAATACAAAATGATCTATATTGTATTATCAGCACAGATGAAAAGGAAAAGAGATTATTAAAGAATTTCCCATACTTGAAATATAATCAATATCGTTGTATAAACTTAAAACAACAGACTATGTGGAGCACATGGTCTAAGATGTGAGGCTGAGGGAACTGGGCTTGTTCAGCTTGGCGAACAGAAGGCTTAGGGGAGACTCAATAGTAGCCTTCCAACACCTATGAGAAGGCCATTAAGAAGACAGAATGGCTCTTCACAGTGGTGCACAGTAGGAAGATGAGAGACAACAGAAATAAATTGGAAAAAAAGAGCAGTTCAGAGTGGATGTAAGGGGAATTTTTTTTCGTTAAGAAGACAAACAAGCATTAGAATACATTATCTAGAATGGTTATACAGTCTCCATCCTTGGAGGTTTTCAAGACCAGACTGGATAAAGACCTGATTTTATCTCATAGCTGACCCTGCTTTGAACAGGTTGGACTAGAGACCTCCTGAGGTCCCCTCCAGATTAAATTATAATGTGATCTTATGAAATAAATGCGAAGTACACAAGAGTGCAATTAGTACCCCTGTGAAAATTACATGGGCCAGAAAACATAATTTAAAAAGAAATATCAAATATTTCTTGACCCTTGGAACGTCATGTGTATTTCATCAGAATGTTTTTATCTACAGGAGGTGCAGCATTGGATCTACAGACTTGCCCACCCAAACCATTCCGCTGGATTCTTGACATGATGTGGATAAACCTAGTGGAATTGAGCAAACTTCCACAGTTTGCAGAAATTTTGAATCAGGTGGTATCTATTAATTATCTTTTTAATGTTAATAACCAGTTTCCCAGTCATAATTGTGCTCCCATATTTTACATTGGGAATGCACAAGAGATGTAGTTAAGAACAAGGCCAGAGAGAATACAGAATAAAGGTATGGAAATAAACAGTTAGGTAGCATAAATGGGGGTATATTTATTTGCTCTACTTTTTTTTTTTTTTGTCTGTTTTATTGTATTTTGTATTATAGTCATTGAGGTAGAAAGAGAAGAGAACAGGAGCAAGAACTAGTTAAAAAGGAAGTCAGTGGAAAAGAGATAGAAATAAGGAGACAGGATAAAAAAGTAGAAGTATCAAGAAGGTTCAGAAGGTTAATCTATAAGTGTCAGATTTTAAGTTACAATGTTTTATGTCTTGAGTCCAATAGATTTTTACAAGTAAATTGTTTGCTGCTTGTTTTTAAACACTTATTTCCATTCCAAGGTTAACATGTTATTTAGATATGATGAGCTAGCTATAAAAATACTATTTACTTTATTGAGACATACATGACCCTACATGCACATAAGCTTGTGACATGTTTATCAGTTATTTTCTGTACTTTGGTAAATTTATTTATTTTTTTTTTTTTAAAAACTGTAGTTAAAACACTCCCTAAGCATTTCTCTTTCTGTAACTCCTAAGCACTCCTTGTTAATCAGGCTGATAGCCAAGACACTAAGTTCTTCTTGCTGTTAGAGCAGTGGTCAGCCAAGTCCATTTTGTGATGGCGTTTAGTTTAGGTAGCAGAATTTATATCTAAATGGTGTACCTGGAAGTGGTCCTGGCTGTTTCTCAACTCTGTATCAAGGCAAGATCTGGAAACATGCTGGCCCGTTTCCTCCAGGTTTTGGTTTCTAGAGGTATCAAAACAGAGTATTGAGTCAGGAGAAAGCTGGAGGAATTCTAGTACGTCTTTACTTGGGATTGTTAGGGCACCAGAACCCAAAATGCATGACACTGCACACTTGCTAACATTACTTAAATTTAGCCTTAGGGTTATGAATTATGTATTTTTCTTTTAATTTGTAGATCATAATGGTTCCGTCATAGGGCTTTTCTAGAACTAGTGCAAACAAAACTTTAGACTCCAAAATACTTAGGTCATCCATGTTTCCCCAAAAGGCCTCTTTTTAAAGTAATCTTTTAGCACTAACTTAAAATTGCAATATATTTACAAGTTGAAAAGTGACAGGTGATTTTAGTAATTGATAGAGATGGAACCTGGGAGGTTACCAACTAGGATAGCAATAAAAAATTCAAATGTGGAAGTAACATCTTTTTAATACTTATTTGCATCCATTAGGTATGCTGTTCTATTTGGCTCATCATGTTAAATACAAATGTACCATTAATCATTCAGATACAAACATAAAATTATTTAAAATAAGAGAAAAAGCTTGAAAATGGTATGCCCAGTTTTCCAGAGGTTGCTTGTGTTTTTCTTTTTTTCTTGTGGGTTACAAATTTTTCCTCCTCTAAAATTAAGTCCCCCGGTCCCAGATGCCTAACTTAATTTAATAAAGACATATTACTCTTCAAACATTTAGATGACCCTCTTTCTTTTCACACTGTTACTACTTCCAGCTGTGGTTGAGTAGGAGATGGTACCATGAAATACGTAATAAAGGCTTAATGATTTTACTGAGTCAACTAAAGTCCCCTTAGTTCAATAAACTATCTCTGGATCTGGCCTAGCTTTGAGAAGGTATCTCCTCTGAATACTCTCCTAGCATGTGCTCAGGTAGATGTCAGTTAATGTAGAACTGAACTATTTGCTTATAAAACAATTTTTTTTCTTAGACTTGGACTATAGTTCAGAAAAGGGACATTTGGTATTTATGAATCTCTCTGAATGAGTTTCATTACAGGAAATACATGGTTGGAAGAGGTCTCTGTATGTTCATTTCTCATTCCTCTCCCAGTCCATTCTTGGTGTAGGTTGTTCTGAAACTACTTCTATTCGAAACCAAATCAGACAACTGGAGAGAGCTCCTTGGTTTATAATATGAAACTGTATTTCAGAACAGATGGTATCAGTGAGTTCCTTGTTCTTTTTCCAGTGATCTGAGAATATTGATGTAGCTGACTCTTCTCAGTCACTGCATTAAAGGCTCAACTGCATAACAATTTTCACTGTGTTCTATCCACCAGTATCCCTTGTCCTATTAGGTCAGCGGTTCTAAGAGGTGCCTAAATAATGGTCGAGTTTGTGGTCAGATTTATTCTTTCTCAGGTCCAAAGCTTACTGGAGTCTGTTATTTTTAATTTGTGATTCTTTGGTTGGCTGGACTGTACTGGGACAGATTTTTCTGTTCCTCTTAGTACTTTGTGATCAGAAGGAATAAATTAATCACAGTATGTTCCTCCTGTAGTATAGAATCGTTCTGCTAATTATTGATTTTTTTCTTAAGCAACTGCGTGTGTTTGGAAGGGGAATCCACGGATAACCAGTTAGCTTAAGAGACTGCATCTTAATACTAAAATTTCTATTTGTAATGTCTTAATAGCAATTCCCATGGCATGTGTCTTAAACACTATAGACTTTTAACGTTACTTGTAATATATCCTAATATAATAAGAGACTCTCATTAAAATATACATTTACAAGGGGATTTTACTACAGCTGAGATGTATTTATATGTGTGTTAATGTAATAAATTCAGATAGCCCATAATGAAAAGGGATGGAAAAGTTGGTTTGATAAAGATGCTCCCGAGGAAGAAATTATACCCGACGGATATAATGATTCACTTGATACCTTTCACAAGCTTTTGCTCATCAGGTGAGCATCTTCAGAAATCTGGGAAATAACATACATGGTTGCATCACGTCTCTCAGTCTATCAGTCTGCTATTATCATAATATCGTAATTTTAATTAATTTCTAGGTGACATGAAATATTATTCACTTACATTAAATATGATTTAATTCACTCACTTTGGAGCTATCCTCTGAAGAGTCTAAAAAAGTTATTTCTTGAAAACATTTTTTATAACTTTGCTTTTATGTTGTGACAAATGGAATCTGGGAACCACATTGCAGCCTTCTCCAAAAAGTCACTGAAAAAGTAGAATCATTCAGATACAGTTTTCAAAATTATTTTTTTTTCATTCCTTTTAAAATAAACTATTTTGAATAACTTTAGATAAGTAATTTAAAAAAAAAAAATTGTGAAAATGCAAAACAGGTATTCAAAAGCTCCATATGAAAAGTATGCTATAAATGATTTTATTGCATCAGCCAAGGTCTCTATGGCAGGGTTTGGGATAGAATGGATTTCCTCAAAGCAGCATTCAGCTGCCTTACACATGAGATCATATCTTCCTACGTTCATTGTATACTTTCCAAGTGCTGCAACAAATAATTCAGAGACACTACAAACAAACAACAACATTATTTACTAGACCATGATTTGTCTTTGGAGCAGATTCAACCTGTGCAGTCAAATAGGCCAGAATCTGATGAAAGAAGTATTATATTGTTATATGCCATACACCCTGAAGGAGGAGCATCTAAGTCCTAAGCCTTTAAATAATAAACCTATAAATTGAAGTTTTGCAAAGTCATATCTCTTATCCAAAAATAGTTATTTGAGTTTTATTTTTCCATGGGAAAAATAAAGACTCATCCCCAACACAAATGCCATCCAGTAAAAAAGAGTTGAGTCTGTACCCTAAAAGACTTAACAGACCCAATGAAATATCTGCAGAATTTTACCTCTCATCTGTTTCTTGTCTATGGGATCTGACCCAACTATTCAGATTGATTCCTTGGCTAGGAAGCTTAAACTGGGTATGAAAGTGATTATTCATTGTCATGTGTTAATGTGCAGAAGGGTAATTAAGTAATTTAAGAGTTAGTTTTATTTTCTGTTGTACTATTGTTTGTTCCTGAACCATCATCTTAGAGATAAAATAATATCTTAAATAAAAGATTATTCTGTGTGCAGTTGGACAGTAATGTTTTCAGTTCTTTTTTTATAAATTGTTATCATCCTTCCCAGAGATGATATTTTTTAAATCTTTCTCTGTAAGACAAAACTTACTTACTTTTTTTTTTTTTTTCCTTAATTCTGACGTGGTGGCAATACTGTTTTCTTGGTTTAACTCTTAATTGCCAGTAATGTAAAAGTCAGCAATCTGCTTACAAGATTACTTTGTAACAAAAAAAATATCCACAACATCTGCATTTGTATATTCTGGACTTTGTCTACATTACATGGAAATTTTGAAAAATTGTGCATACAAACTGAGTTGTAAGTACTAACTGATACTAGTTACATGAATACATTCACAAACGCAATTTTACAGTTATGCATTTTGTGCTCATTTACGTGGCTTCATTATATACACTTACAGAAAATTCTGGGTTCATATTTCAAATGCTGTGGCTTATTTCATTAAAATTTGGCACAAATTCCCATTGACAATAATAACATTAGTCACAACCTTTCACTTCTACAAATTGTAAATATTGTGGATGTACAATTTAATGTTATTTTACAAAGCTTCAATGTTTAGAAAACATATATAGTAGCATAATATGATGGTGAAGGGATTCTACTTTCATAAGAATATATTTTTGCATAAAAATGTACTTAATTGTGCTGTATTTATATCACTGTTTTTTTGGACTGAAATGGAATTCTTACCTTTTCTCAAGAATGTAAGTTCATTAATCATATATTGTCCAATATGTTGTAGAATGTAGGACCATCTCTATGGGTCAAGGACAAGAATCTCATGCACGCAAATTCATACAGATGTCAATGCAACAGGTGGGAAAAAACCACTGCAATATAAGTTAATTGTTTGATTTAATATTCTTCCACACCTCTTTTGCACGCAATCTTTACTATTTTGCGTTTTCGTCTGACTATTGGGCATATCTCAGGGCAAAAATATCTTGGATGCAGCCTTTGTTATGGAATTTCTCTATTGTATCCCAGTAACCTCTCAAGTCCTACCAAGTGTTGTGACACCAGCACTGAAATACAGATGTACACCACTTTGGAAAAAGAGAAAAAAGAAATCTCTTTATAGCAGATGGCATTTTTTATGCTGTGCAAATGCACACATACATCTCTCATACTTCTTTATGTTTGTATGTCTAGAATGGCCATCATCAACTTCCAGTTCATTGGAATAATGAAAACTGGGGCATCCCTGCCTTTCTTTTGCCCTTAATTAAAAGCACAAGGATACTCAAAACAGCACTACAGTAGAGCTACCAGTAACAATTTCTGGAGTAAATGCCTTGGTGGTGCACACATTTTATGGAGGGAGGGATATGTGAACATCAGATTTGAAAGAACAAAACAGAATTAGTGAATATGAAGACAAATATCTGAGGTTTTTTCCTACCTCTGGCCAAGAGCATACAATATGATTAAAACTGCTGTGCTGTGTTACAGGTAGATAATTTTCAAAAACTGAGCCTGATTCATTTGGAAATGTGACAAAATGCTTAAAGATCTTCCTCAAAAAAGAAGGAAAAAAACTCCTTAATTTATTTTTTAAAAAATATCCATCAGTTCTCTGTAAATATTTCAATTAAATTTTGTCACCAAATGTTATTTATTTCTTTTTAAATGAGCTAAAACAAAATTGCCAAAATGAAATTACAAGCTGTAATGAAATCCACACATCACTGTTTAGAACTGATTAAATAATGTCCCATTTTAATACCAGGCTTCTGATTCATCAGACTTCTAAAGTGATGCTACAAAAGCTGATTGAATTTAAATTCATAAGCAGAAGTGCAGAGAGATAATAATAAAAATAGATCTTTCATGCAATTTGAGAGTTCAATAAGATCAAAATTAATATATGGCGGTTGAATTTCATGGAAATGCATTTATTGCAGATAAACTAATTGCAACTGAAAAGTTTTAGAGTCTTGTTACCACCTCTTTACACCTACTTTAGATTATGTTATTAAAAAGTAATTTTTTTTTTTAAAAAGATAGTCCTTAGATTTCAGCTGTTACTTTTCCACTTACATTCTTTTGGATCTGATGGCAGGATTGCCTATCACTGGTGTTTTGCTGGGAAAGGACAGGAATTACTTCTTTTTGCCACTAGGTAGCACTGATACTTTACTTAGAATATTGGCTCTGGTTATGTTATTTTCGTCGTGAACAATAGGATGTGGAAATAACGTTTGCACTAACTTTTTCTATTTGCTTTAACTGTGCCAATATCATATCAAATCAAATGATAATACATATTCAGGAACAGACCAAAAGTCAAATAAATTAAAAAAAAAAAAAAATTACTTGCAAGACCAAATTTGATTCTAATATAGAGAGTTGGGTTTAGTGTTATAAATAACTTGTTCTAAATTTTGTGTGGTAATAGTCGATATTCTTATTTAGGGAGGTTGGGTGTTACTTCAGAATTGTCATCTTGGACTGGATTTCATGGATGAACTACTGGAGACACTTCTTACCTCCGAGATACAAGATGAGACATTTAGAGTTTGGATAACTACTGAACCACATCCTAAATTCCCAATTATGCTGCTACAGGTTTCTTCAAATATTTAATTCAGGTACCTCATGCCATCAAAATTATTCAAATTAAGTGTGTAAATGAAAATGAAATAAAATGGGGGAAAAAAAACCCAAAACCCAAGAAAAAAAAAATAACCTGCCTTACAATGCAAATATCACTTTAAACAAGAAGTTTACTGGCCAGTAACTGGAAGTTCTCGAGGATGCATTATGTATGTGTGAGTTCACACTAATTCTGGACACAGAAATACTTGAATCAAAACTATGAGTCTTTACCTCATAGCATCACTTTTTGCCCAGTGAGATGCCTTGTGAACAGAATAATGCCCTCAACTGCTCTTGGACTCTTCCAGAGTTCCCTATCTGAAATAAAGGATAAAGAGGACAGAACACACATGGACAGCACATCTCGGAGAACATCATCTACCAAGAAGTAACCTCTTTTTTCTTCAGATAAACTATAAATGGTTATTCTGTAGAGCTCAAGGAGACATTTTTCATCAGTACCAGGAAAATTGCCTGAACTCTTCCAAAGTGCATTCAAGTCAGTTACGATGGTTCCTAGCACTCTCACAGCAGGTCACAATGCTAGTTAATATCTAGTGTAAAAGCTATGTATTAACACTTCTGTGTTCACAGATCTCTTTCTTCTTAAAAACAGTGGGAGTCTCCTTAGTGATTCTCGTTCTCTCTAAATAAAAATAGATACCATACCTGATATCTAGGAAGTGAAGGGGGGAACGTTCCTTTCTCAGATGAATCTAGGAGACAACCTTCAGTAAGAATTGTATGTCATCATGGAAAAACACCATGTGTAGAAAGCTGGCTGTATGGACCTACATTCTATTGTGTTCTTTCAACAGAAAATTAAATCATCCTGGGTCTTTAAGGGGTTTGTGAATAGTAAGGTATACAAACATACAACGGTTTGCTAAAAGTGAGAATAGAGAAATGAGAGCGTTGCTGGATGAATTTTCATTGCATTTATCTCAAATGTTTCATCTGTGATTTCCCAGTCTATAGTTTCATGTTACGTGTTAAAATATTAATGTATTCAGGGATTCTAGAAGATTAATAACTGACAAACCAAAGCTCAGCCTATTCTCAGAAGAAAGGAGAGAATAATTTTATTTTATTTTATTTTTATAAAGAACATTAATCAAAAACTGAAGAGGATATCCTTTCAAATGTGGAAAGACTGGTTAGCAAGTCTTCCCATTCAGTCCAACGCTCTAGTGTGTTCCTGTGCAGATAGGTCCTTGCAGAAGACTGGGCTCTGCAGCCCAGAAATAAGTTTATGAGACTGACGTTGAAAAGTAGTTTCTTAAAAATAATTGAAGTTCTTTACCACAAATATGGAGATAGTAAAATTGCCAGGTGAAGTACACATTCAGGACTGTCTTCCATTAAGTGTCTCTCAGGAGCACAAACAGTTCAGAGCCATGCTTGCCTTCAGCCCATGGGCAGCCTGGCATTTGCTATCCCTTCAATGCAGGCTACCATATTACCCAAGCCAGCCAGACAAGTACTTACTGTTGGAGCCGAAAAATGCTCAGTTTTTATTTGGGTTCCTCCAGCATTTGAAAGTGTCTCAAGGAGCAGAGATTCTGGTAAGGCCACTCTGTGCCTGAGCTGATAGATTCAAGCATGCCCCACGAACGTTACCCAGCGGTGGAATGCAATAGTCCATAGGGGCAAGGAGTTACAGCAGTCTCTGATGCGAAAACCTAACTAGCACTCTTGCAAATAATTTGCACATAAGGTTTGACAATTAAAATTTTGTAGCAGCCATCCCCATTAGGCAGTTGGCATGAAACTAGGGGCCTGTATTCTAAGGAGCTGTGGCGGTTTACTACCAGAAATGTGGATTCCATGCCTGCTGACCAGAGTGCCCAGGAACATTCCCAGGTGAATCCCATTTCCTGCTGCAGACATAGCCTCAGGTTAGCCACTGTGAACACAAAGGTCTGATCTGAGGAGACGTGAGCTTTCTTTGTACTTACTGTGAAGTCCTGGTACCAGAAACACAACAGAGCCTTTGTCATCTACTCTGGGTAGCTGTCCTCAATTGTTCAGTCATTGAATTAGGGATAGAGAACCATATGATGCCTTCTGAAAAGCACAGCAACTGCTTCCAGGTTGCTGATGAAAATTCTTAGATTCATGGATAAGTGCCAGTGATGGTTTTGATCATCACAAACTGAAGGTCTATGTTCAAAATCTTTTGTGGCCTAATCTAGTATGTAGTCCTTTTATGCAGTTTGTAGTAAAACTACATATCAACATTGTATCTACAATGCTTCAGCTATTTACATTTTATTTATAACTAATAGTTGTGATATTTTTGTATGTTGCTGTTTTTGTTTCACTAAACAAACCCAATTCTTTTGTCTTTTTCACATGACAGATTGCTATAAAGTTCACAAATGAACCTCCCCAAGGTATACGGGCCGGACTGAAAAGAACATTTTCTGGAATTCATCAGGATCTCTTAGATGTTAGCAATATGCCCATGTGGAAACCTTTGCTTTACAGTGTAGCTTTCCTGCATTCTACTGTTCAGGTATTTCTTACAAGGTTTGCAAATAGTGTTATAATGTGTGGATTCACTTTAACAGAGGTTCCTGAAAATACACTTTCTGATACTTATTGTAACATCATGTTGCAGGGCTGAAGCTGTAATTTCTATAATCTGTATGTCAAGGTTCCTTATTCTCTTAATTGTTTTATAAATTTTACACAATTTTCATACTATGGGCATTTGGAATGAGGTTTTTTTCTCATCTAACTTTAGCTGTCCCAAAGTTGTAAGAGAAAAAGCGCTCTCTGTAGTAAATAGAAATAAATAAGCATCTTGAAAAAGAAAATCAGCTTATTTATCTTAGCTGTTTCTTTTTAAAAGAGTGAATAATTTTCTAGCAATATATCACTCTTTCTGTCCATTAATTTTAAAGGCAATCCAGATGCCTAGCTTGGAGTAGCTGTCTAATTTCTAGATGGCTAAAATTAAATAAAATTCTATCACTTAGCATCTTGTTTTTATCTTATTTTATCTGTGTCAACCTGTTTTCTACATTAATTCCAATATGAGTACAATGATATCTATACTTTGTACTGTAAAGATATATGTTTTGCAATTACAATATCAACATTTTGAGCTCTCGGAATGCACCTCCTTTTCACGAAGTATCTCAAAACAGTTATAAAACACTATTTAAGTCTTAGACTCTGTTAAGCTGCTCGTATTCTCAGTGTAGCAAAGATGGTGAGAGAAGGACAATTTGTCAGAGGTTCCTATTAAGATACAGTATTCTGCATGATTTTTCTCCTTCTACCTTTTTATAAACAGTGAGAAAATTGTTCTGTGTACTGCCTCAGGATTATACTGTTCTTATGGAACTAAAAGATCTAAACTTATTCAGCCATCAGTACTTGTAAAAACTATTATAGCTATTCATCTGTTCAGAATATTTATTTATGGATTGCCAATCAGCAAGCAATATATACATTGCCCTGCCTTTAAACTGACCAATTCCTCATATCCTTTGGTGACAAGATCACTGTGATAAATATAGCTTAAGAAGTAATTCAGAGAATTTGGCAGAAAATCATTATACCTTTCTGCAGAGTATTATTGGTTAATGCTGTCTCATCTGCTTATAAACAATGCTTGATTCTGAAAAAATAAAAGTTGTTTTTTCAATTCTAGTTGTTTTTAAATATTGTAGCTAAGGTACTTAAATGTTACTTAACTAGATGTCAAAGACTGTCAGTCACTGTTGGCCTGGTAATTTAAACTCTTATAAATATGTTATCATTTCATTAATTTTAGAATGTCAGTATTATGCTGCTTATTCTTTTAAAAAATATCTGCACTATTCAGCAATTTAGTTCTTAAATTCTTGGATTAATTTGTTCTATGTTCTGAAAAAAATCATTGAGTGATGTAACTGAGGTGGCTAAAAGAAAGTTGTGAGAAATCTAATAGTGTTGGATGTTTAAAATGTTTGGGCTGCAGTTTATATACTCTTACTTTTATAGACAACTATTTTTCTGTTACTGCAAGTGTTATCATTTTATTTTCAAATATGTATGCAATAATAAATTTGAGTAATATAGTGGTGGCAGCCTTATAATAAAGTTGTGCATTTTGAAAAATGTGTATTAAAACAACAGTGAAACAATAAGACAAAAGAGGCAACCTAGAAGCCTTTAGATAACTGAGCTTGAAAAATTGAAACTATCATAAGCAGACAGTATACGTAGAAAAAAATGAAAAACTGTAGAACTCAGAATTGTTGAGTGTTCTGAAAATGCAGACATTTGGTAATTCTTTAAATTAATTACTTCATATAAAAATCTGATCACCCACACAAACATGAGACATTTCAAACCTATGACTGATACATTGATTAATAAAGGTAGCAATAAATGATTCCATTGCTTTTTCTATAAATATTTATACTTTATCATGTAAATCAATAATGAACTTTGTTTATTAATGATGTGTATGAGGCACATAGTGGTTTCCCAGGCTAGCTTTCTTCTTCAGTTCAATGCTTCACTCCACTATTATTATTATTATTATTGAACTTTAATAATGAAACAAAATTATATGTTCTTTCATAAACATGTTTGATTTTAATTGTATTCCTAAGGAACGACGCAAATTTGGGCCTTTGGGTTGGAATATTCCCTATGAATTTAACTCAGCAGTGAGTTAAATTCAGTTTTTAACTGAGCCAGTGCTCAGTTTATACAAAATCACCTAGATGAATGTGACATCAAGAAGGTGAATACTAAAATCTGCATACAGTATATTTAATTGCTTTGTACAGCATCTGCACTTATTTTTTCTTCATGTTACTAATAGTTTAGTCATTGCTATTCTTTCAGTGCATCTTCCAATGATCAAAGTTTTAGATTCTCTGTATGACAGTCAAGCTGAAATATTTTATGTGCTGTCATCCATGTAAAAATACATAACAGTTAAGAACTTCAGAATTTCATCTTGTTTTTTTCAATACCATATCTAAAATATTGACAGGTCTATACAATATCTGTTTTGGAAAGGGAGCTAAAATATTTAGAGCTTGACAGAGTCAATCAAACTTCTCTATGGCTGCCATTTGGTCTTCTATTATTTATCAGGGAATAATGTAATAGACTAGCCATTCCTTGCAAAGCAGCATTTGGCCAACAGAGAAAGATGAGAAACTGGGGGAAGAGGGGAGAGAGGAGAGGCAGTAGCAGCTGAGAGTGATTTCAGGTCACACAAGAAATACTTACATATATTTCTAATAGCAGGATCGAGCCCAATTCTACTATAAAATTGTAGAGCTGACTCAGAAAATACATTAGAAATAAAGTATTTTTTTTCTTCCAACAATTATCTTTTCAGCTTACATTTCAGAGCATTATGAGCTTCAGCTATTGAAATTACAGGCTGGATACCTTCTTCTTGCATGTTGTAACTAAACTCTTTCACTTACTTTACTTGCATCCAGGGGTTATCATGGAACACAGTACGCTACATGATTGGAGAAGTACAGTATGAAGGCCGAGTCACAGATGACTTTGATAAGCGTCTTCTTAATTGCTTTGTAAGGGTAGGCGACCTTGAAAATACAGTTATTTGTCAGTTTTATTGGCAGCTGCAACACAGAAATCAGAAGACCTTCTTTCTGCGGAATATGCACTTCTTCACCAATTTATAAGACTCTTCAGAGTAAAATGAATTTTTCAAAACATCATTCTTTGGCACTGAGGTTCTTCCCCTTGGTTTCTCTTTAGTGAGAAGCAGAAAGTATTAAAAAGACTTAGTTGGAGCTCAGACTTAGAAGACATAACTCTTAATGACTTACTTGTGTATTCAAGTAAAATTAGATGTAGTAGCTAAAACAAGAACCCTAATTCTCCAAGAACAAAAACGAGAGAAAAAGTCCTCTAAGTAGCAAAGTAATTGCATTTTTTTTTCCTCTGGATTTTTCACAGATATGGTTTAATGAGAAGATGTTTGACAGCACTTTCTGTTTTTACACTGGATATAAAATTCCAGTGTGCAAAACCCTGGAACAGTATTTTGAATACATCCAGTCACTCCCTCCCATGGACAGCCCAAAGGTCTTTGGTCTCCATCCGAATGCCGATATTATGTAAGTAGGTCTCAACTCGTTGAAAACAGAAACCCTTTCCTTTAGTATTTGGAAACAAATCCCTATGAAATGCTTAAGTAAAGTATATTTTTCATAGGAAACCTAGGATTCATGTGAATTTCACTATTGAAGTGGAACACTTGATGTGTATGTACATGGTTCTGAATCCAGTATCTTCAGCTACATTTTACATGTTATTTTAAATCAGTTGGAATTCTTATTACATATTTTTCATGGTTTTAGAACTTTTTTTAATTTGAAAGGATTATAAAACTTTCGTATGAACAGATGATACAAGGTTCTATACAGTTCAGCTACAAAAAGTTTCTAATGCTTGCCTTCTGTTCCAAGTAGTATATTATTTTTCTGTGCACACTAGTTAAATGAGTCTCTGGATTGTCATTTGGTTTACAAGCACACCTTTGGATGTAACTACAATCTTTTGTTGCTATCAGTCCTGCTATTTCCATTATTTAAAAGAGGCTTTTCAACTGCACTAGGTACTAACTCCATTTAAAATTTTCTCTTTGACTTAATTCACTTTTTCATTCCAAGTAATGAGTGTAACAGCTTGGCTTTTAGTTCCTCCTAATGTTACATGCCCTGTGAAAGGATATGAATCATCATCATATTTTTTTTCACTGACGTTCTTAATAATTCTGCCATGAATTATTGCATTTTCATTATGTCTACATTCATTAACATACCTTTTTGTATTTTTAAACAAAACAAATGTTATTAAAATTCCCAGCTGCTGTGCAAACCTAGTATCTTCTAACATTTTTGGACAAAACAATTATTTCCCACAATTTTTCAGTCTCAGCTTTGAGAGGCTGGTGCTATATCAAAAGCCCAGTATTCTAAGCATGCTGTGAGAACAGTTTTATTGTCAACTCTGCCTAGTGCCTACCATTGTAAATATATACTTCTGAAGAAAAGAATCTAGGAGTAGATTCTGTTTCAAGTCATTCTCTGATACTTGCAAGACCTCCCTTCCAGAGCGGTTTAAAGAAGAGCCAAGATTCAACAGAGAACTAAACAAAGTCCTAAAGAGAGACATGCTTTGGATCCAAAATTAGGCTTGTAGGAAGGCTAATTTATAGAAGGAAACTCGAGACTAACAGTGTCAGGGGAGCTTTAGTGAGTAGGAACAGCTCCTTCATTTCTCTCTAGTACTGTGTTTTTCTTCCACTTGACACACCAGCATATTTCTGCTACTTCAGGCCTTTTTCTGGAGATTTTCCTTTGTAGGTATTTCTTTACAGTTTGGGGGAAATGTTCAACAGCTTCATGCTTTTTTCCATGTCTTATCACAGTCTGTTACAGGCAAGTATGCGCATATACTGTCCAAATTTCATCTTTGACAGACAGACCAAATGGATTAGCATCCCATACAATATAAAAAGTTGCAATCAATGCTCCTTAAAATATCCTAGCAAGTCATCTCAGAGTATGCAGAAGGCTAACTGCTAGAATTGGGACCCTGAGACAGCCAGGACCTCTCCATGTTCCTACTACTGAGGACAAGAAAGACCTTCTCCCTCACTGGTTTAGCAGGACACTTTTCCAGTTCAGCCAAAAGCTCAATCCATTGGTTCCAACTGTAAGACTTCACTGAATGTCAATACTTCATCCACTTGGGATAAACACCTGAAGTCATTGCAATTGATTTTCACTTGCTATATGAATCACAGGCTCTGCAAAGACAATATAGTTAAATGTTACCTAAGCAGGCAAGGAATATTCTGACAATCTTCTGTCAAAACCCCTTCTCCAATTGGTTCCATACTGAAGCCCTAAATCTAACTGAATTTTTGTAAAGCTTCTGCAAGCTGTTATTAACAAATTGAAGATATGTTTCAGAGTGTCTTTCACATTCACTGTGTCCCACTGTTATGTGAATGAAATTTCTTGTTTCTATTTGCTCCTCATTTCCACACTGGAATATTATTTTTAATTATGTACAGATTGAGATACATCTTTTTGTCTTTTCTATTTTTTTTTTACAATAAAATTCTTCTTGTTCAAACTGCTATTGCTATTAATGTTTGCTTCTTTATACAAGATTCAGATGATAATTTCTCCTTTCCAGAAGATTCCTAGCTTTTGTCATTGAAGAAAGGAACACTACTTACCTTTGATTCTGCTCCTTTGAAGTTACTTTTCAAAAACTCTTCTCTGCTTTTCCCTGAAGTCTGCATATTGCCTTCTTTTTAAAATTGTTTCTGTTTTTGTTTAGATTTGGGGAAAGATCATTCATTATTATAATTCTGTAATATTTTATAATTTATTTGATGTAATAATCATGGGACCTATTCCTTCCACATAGAATAGTCTGACAACAGTATTGGAAGAATGGTACTTGCAGTGTGAAAAGGAATGTTCCCATCTCTCTTATCATTAGTTGTTAGATCAGCGAGACCCAGAGTAAGGGTTACAACCACCAGTGTGTCATCCAAATTAGGAATGAAGCCGTGAGTCCAAGAGAAATTTGATTTTATCCAACTTTTCTGCTCATATGTGGTCTTGAATAAATCTGGTCTTAAATGAATTATTTAAATGGGGCCATAAATGGAAAAAAGCTTGAGAGTTTTGAGTCTAAAATCAAGGGTTATTAAAAACCGTGAAAGCCTCACCATTCCTACATTCAGAAGCAGAAATTATATCCTCTGAGAAGCAAACAGCCAGTAGGAGTTCTTCTGTTTTTCTGATTTATAGTCTTTATAATTGCATTCACAAAGTTTGTGTTGAAGTGCTGCAGTTTCTAGCTTCTGTGATCTTATGATACTATCTCCAAAGCTTAGATGCTTTAGGAGTTCACATGTTCTATCCTGTGGCACAATACTTGGTTTCACGTCTTATATAATTATAGATGACAAAGAAATAGAAGGAGATGGGTGTTGTATGAAGGTTGAAAGGTAAAACTGGCATACAAAATTATGCTTTGAGTCAGTACAAATTTACATTCTGCATCAGACTCATACTGTATGTTCCTTATGTGGCTGATTCCATAAGGTAAGTGTAGGCAATACCAGCACTGCAGTACCAACACATACACTGTTAATGTTTTATTTCTTATTGCTTCTCATAGCTCTGTGCCACTCGATAGCATTGTAACAAAAGTACTCCTGTAAGTCTGCTTGTGTTGAAGGACTGATATGCTCTACTATCTTCTACCATCAAATGCCACACGAATTTAATTCACTTTTTTGTATTGACTCAGAACATAAACTTGCATTAGCACTGCCCATGCTGTACTATGGAATAGAATGTTTTTAATCTCCAACATTGTAAATCTAGCAGCTTTTATCATTAATCCTGAAATACCTCAAAGCAGAATGAATTTACTAATTAATAAAGAGGCAGCTTGCAGAGTTGTGCCTTCACCTTTTCCTTCCTCTGCATTCTACTTTTAAGAAGTAACTAAATGAGGGAAATATTACTCCTTGTTACAAAACTTGTGTTGCTTCTTCCCCAAAAATAGCTGTTTAGAAGTCCTTATCAGGCATATGCCATTTTCTTCACTTTCCTCAGAATCCCTAGAAATCATATGATAGGTTTTTCTGCCACCTCACATCCTCAGCTTGCAGAATTCCTTCTTAGCCCTGAATTGGAAAAAACAGCAAGTAAATAACAGGGTGTGTAGAAGGAAGTTCATATTCTTTACAATCATGGAAAACCAAACATTTTTCATGATCAGTGTTTTCAGCTTGGTGCAGGACGCAAAGTAAAATAATTTCTTTTGGGAGCTTTGATTTAACCTGATGATACAGTATGTTTCTTCCTAACATTCAAGTTGTGTGTTCTACAAAGTATCATTTAACTATTATGAAATCCTATGTAACTTGTACTATATTTCTTACCCTCTCAGATACCAAAGTAATACAGCAGCTGATGTTCTAGATACTATTTTCAACATTCAGCCTAAAGAAAGTGGTGCGGGACCTGGAGAAACTCGCGAAGGAATTGTTTATCGTTTAGCTGAAGACATGCTAGAGAAACTTCCTCCAGATTGGCAAGTTAATCTTAGTTGTTTTCTTACTGTTGCTTCTGAGTTTTCACAAATTCCAAAAAAGAAACCCTGAACTGTAAATAAACATCATATAGCTAGTAGCAAATTCAAGCAAGGATCCAACATCTTTATCATTATCAGCGTGAATCAGTGTGAGGCTTTTTTATTTAAAATCAAGACATCTAACAATTGATCATGGAGATACGTCATGGAGGCTATGCTTGGACTTCCAAAGCTGCATGTGAAAACACAGAAAAAAATCAGCCTTGACTTTTTGTGACCACAGTCTCCTGGGCTTTCTGGGTGAAGTCCTAGCCTAGCAAAAACATGAGTAATTGGGTAGTATCAGACTAAAAATAAAAATAAAAATAAAAACTGCAACAGTTTTAAGGGGATAAATGATAGTTAAATACTGTGAAGTACAAGTCTACTACATACTTTTCTGAGCACAAGAAAGTTAAGATGTTGTATATGACAACAATATTTCAACAATTCAGATTTAACTAAATTCCTTCTTCTGCTCTCCTATATTTTAGGTAAAAGCTCGTTTAATTAAAATGGGACAACTTAACTCTATGAATATTTTTCTTCAGCAAGAAATGGACCGAATGCAAAAGGTGATCACAATACTCCGCAACAGTTTGAATGATCTTAAACTAGCCATAGAAGGAACTACTGTTATGAGTGAGGCAAGTAAAGCATATTTACTATGTATGGAATACTGTATTTTAAACTATTACCTTGATTGCTTTAGTTCATATGTTATAATTTCATTCCTTCAGAATCTGAGAGATGCACTTGATGATATGTATGATGCTCAAATTCCTCAACTATGGAAAAGTGTATCTTGAGATTCTTCAACACTTGGCTTCTGGTTTACTGAACTTTTGGAAAGAAATACTCAATTGTCTACTTGGATATATGAAGGAAGACCAAATGTGTTTTGGATGAGCGGATTCTTTAATCCACAAGGTAAGGGTACTGAAAGGACTTGAGTAACAATGTATTTAATCATGATTTCATGGTTTTTACTACATATCTAATTTAATATTAGACCTAGAAAAGATGTTTTGATCGCTGTCAGAATATGTCATAGAAGCCAAGATGATAAATGGGTTCAAAAAAGGTATTAGATAAAGTCATGAGAAACACGTCCAATGGTAGTAATAAACATGACTGTCATAAAAAGAAAAGGATTTATGTGTCATTTTGCCTGTTGTAGTATTATTTCACTAAGCATCCGTCTCTGTCTAGTGTCAGAGACAGGATGCTTGTACAGATGGTCTTTTAGTCTGACCCATAAACACAGTTTTTATATTACAAGAAGGAAAACACGTAGTTAACAAATAAAATGCTTTATCTTGTTGACACATGGTAGCATGATATGATACAGCTTCTAAAGAAAATATACTTAATGATTATGATACAGCTTTTAAAGAAAATATTATTTTCCTGTGCTTTCAAACTGTTTAACTCATTCCAAAGTGTAAATTGCAAGAATGAAAGAGCTTTAATCTAGAGGAAGATATTATTTATATACTGTACAGCAGCAACAGAAAGACTTTTTTTACAGTAAGAGCAATCATCCACTGGAACAACCTCCCCCCCCCTCCCCAGGACATGGTAGAGTCCCCATTGCTGGAGGTTTTCAAGATGCAATCGACAGGATGCTGGATAAATCTCATCTAGGCTCCCTTTCCCATGAAAGGTTGGGCCAGGTGATCTCCCAAGGTCTTTTCATCCTGGGCTGTTCTATGATTCTATGAACATCCAACTACACCAGAATTTACAGCAGTTACCTATCTTTCACAAAGAATCATCGAACTAGTTTTCACAGTGTTTCTGTTTCACAGGTTATTTAATGAACACTTTGTTCAAATTCATTAAAGATATACTGCAAAGTACAAATAAACATTATCTATCATTATCAGTTACAGCTTACATATTTATCATTTACAGGAAAGAGAAAGAAAAACAAATTGTAACCATCTCCATGAGTAACAAAACCTGTTACCTTATTAGACACAAGTTCATAGAAGAATCTCATTTAGCCTGCACAACTGCCCATACAAAATTCTCATGAGAAACTTCTATGTAACAGCTATGAGGTGTTTTTTCCATTAGCATTAACCTCTGAAATCCTTGAATATTTTAGGAGTTATCTTCACTTCAGGATGATTCTATTCTTACTGGCCTTTCTGTGACCAGGACTGTAAAAAAATTTCTATTATCAAAGTCTTTTTTGGAGTTGATCTCAGAAACGGTTGAGGTGCCTGGAGCACATCCAAATTATCATTCAAAGATGGTATTGAGATGCCAGTCAAAACATCATTCCATTTGTATCATAAATGGCACAGCTGGTCAGTGTCACCATATAATGGTGACATAAATGGTCACATACTGATCTCTGCTGGTTCAAGAGCAGCTCTCACAGTAGTGTGAAAGAAGACAAGGGACCAGATTCTTTTGACCAAAGGAAATATTTAGCCTAATAGCAAACAAACCTGAGACACAGACGGTCTTGACCTTGATGATTGCTTTAGTCTCTGTGTTTCAAAAAAATTAGTCTTGTAGATGGAGAAAAAAGTCTGCTAAGCGCAGAAGGTGTGCTATGGCTAGAGGTGAGGTAAGTATAGTTAAAGTATTCATGATACTGCTTACCAGGAAATTCTGAGTAAATCAAGTCATACAGTAAAGTTTAAAAATTGACTGCTGTGAAGCAAATCAGAAATTGGACTAGCCTGTGCTGCCATTGCAGGAAAATCTAAACTGATTGCACTGGTGAATCAAGCTGTAAATCTGTCATAGCATTGGCAAATACATTATAATGTTAAAACACGAGGAATGTATTCTATCAGTTTAGTGGAAAAATCTATTTATAATATCATAAAGTATCACCAATAATTGTATTTAAACCTGTTGTGATTTTTTTAGCATTATCAGTGTTTGTCTCCTATAAATTATCATTATTAAGGGAGAATGTATGTTGATGGTGGTGCAATATTCCATTTAGTAGACATAACACTTGGAATGAACAGGCTTATGAAAAACCAAGTATCATATTATAGAGATATAACTAATTTTTAGGAAAATTTAGAAGCCTAAATAACAGTTTTATTTTTATCAGAATACATAGTATTTGAGAAATGAATACATGTTCATTTCAAGTAGTACACTAATTGTATTCACATCACATGAATATTTAAGCTGTGACAAATATCTTCGCTTCTAATTGGCTTTGTCCTAACTAGCATGTTAAACCACTTCTTAAATCTTGAAACACTGTCTTCTACTGCATGGCCATGTACTTTCATGACTTCCCCCCTGGCTTGTCAGTATTTCATTTGGTGGTTTCTCGTCCTTGTAGATACTTGACTGCCGACAAAACACTAGTTGTTTTTTCCTTTATGCCCTATCAAGAAGGAACTGATGCCATGTCATCTTTGAGTCTTCACAGTAATCACTCTTAAGCATGCAGTTCCTATTGTTAACTTTTCTCCCTTCGCCTCAATTTCTTTCTGACGACGCCAACAAAATAACAGCTATTGTTTTTTTGGTGACTGCATTGTCATCTTCTGAGACACTTATACAGAAACAACCAGGTATTTGCTACAAGTGTTTCATTCTTGTAGCTTTTTCCTTTGTAACACATCCAAACCTCTTCGATGCCCAGTTATTTGTCATCTTGTGCTTATGTTATTCAGCCCTTTACCTCTCAAACCTTTTTTAATGCAAACCTCTGTAAAGTCTGTTCAAACAATACTCAAAAAATCACCTAGCTCGCTGCTTGATTGTGTCATCTTCTACTTTCATTTCTGCCTAGGGCTCCCTTTTCTTCACTAAAGTGTAAATTTTTCATCCTTCATAGGCACTGCCTTGTCTAGATTCCCCACACTCATATGGTTATTTTTATTATCACATTCAGACACACCTTTTCTGTTTTCCACCAGTGAAATTTATTTTATTTTTCTATTTTGTTCATTTAGAAAAAAAATTGCCTTTTTCCTCAGTTGCCTTTTACATAAATATCAGCTTACATAATTGATATCTTGTCTGCCTTCAAATTCCTTCTTGAAACCTCTACCATGGACCGTGTAGTTGATTGACTAATGATAATTTGTAAGTCAGTATCCTGAGCAAACATTTGTTAACTGAATAATTCAGTAGCAAAAAAAAAAATAAATTTGTGTGTCATTTAAAAATATTTTTCTCAGTGTAATGCATTCTATGGCACTTTTGTCATGTTCCTATTTTGGCCCCAAAGCAAAGTTTGCTATCATTACTCAGGGTGCTCATTTTCAATAGAATTCTGAAGAGCTGTCTATAACATCCAGTGCAGAACCATGCAGATAATCGAGCAAGATTTTTTTGTCATGTGAGATAAATACTAAATCTCTGGCTTAATTTCTCAAGGATTCCTGACAGCAATAAGACAAGAAGCAACTCGATCACATAAAGGCTGGGCTTTAGATACAGTTACAATACATAATGAAGTGCTGAAGCAAAACAAAGAAGAAATCACGGCACCTCCTTCTGTATGTATGACATGCAAAGATATTTCAGCATTAATTTCAGTATTTAATTTATATTGTGCATCATTCAGTCATTTTGCATTGCTAGAGCAAAAAGTTACTATTGTCTTCACCACACTGTTTTTGCTCAGCATTCAAGATAAATAACAAATATGAAGATTTTAATTTTTTTATTTTGCAGTTACAAAAATACTTTATTAAAAGAACCGTTTCATTGTACCCCCTCTTGATTTTTGGAATTTATAGTAAAATTTACGTCAAATTTTGTAGTGTATGGGCTTTATTAAACAACTTCTATTGCCATCCATTACAGTAGTAGTATCTTCTGAAAAATTTACTATAAAACAGACATTTCTTTTAATGTTTTAAGCCAATTGCTCGTTTTACAAAAGAGATACTTTATTTTGTGTGCTATATCTGCTTACTCTCCTGACAGGAAGGAGTATATATCTACGGGCTATACTTGGAAGGTGCAGGCTGGGACAGATGGAATAGCAAACTCATTGAATCTACACCAAGGATTCTTTTTGTCCAGCTGCCTGTGGTGCATATATTTGCTGTTAATACAACCAGTCCTAAGGATCCCAAGCTCTATGTTTGCCCTCTTTACAAGAAGCCCAAGAGGACAGATCTGAACTATATTACAGTGATCTATTTAAGGACAGTAGTGTCTCCAGACCACTGGATATTGAGAGGAGTGGCTCTCCTGTGTGACACCAAGTAAATCTTTTTTTCATACCATAACAGAAACAGAATATATGGTACATATAACCAACCACATGTGTAATTCTTCTACCGCTTTTTATTTGGTGGCCATCGGTCATTATACTAGAACTTTCATTTCAGTCTTGGCTTAATGAATTTTTTTCTCTGCTTCCAGTAAATTCAGTTTGTCTTGGCTATTTGGTGATAGTTTTAAAGTAAAGTTTTCAAAATAAGTTCACTGACTGTAGTCTTTGACGTTTCCGTTACATTACTTAAAAAAGGAACATTTGCTGTAATAATACAATTAATGTAAAATAAAATGTTGTTAAACCTAAAAAAAGGAAAAACTCAGGTTTTTGACATCTTTCTCATATACTGCTTTTAGCTTGTGTTTCACTGACATATGGTGACAACAGAAGACAATATAGAACATAAGAAAATCTAAGTTCTCCTAGATGCAAGTTTTAAAGTATTCCTGGATTCTGCAGATACATACACAATTTTCTTTGACCCTGCCGGAAACTTTATATTTAAGACAGAACAGTGTATTTGTTCCTATTGTTTTCTTGAGGTTTCTGAGAGTTCACTTGTTCTTGTTAAACTATATAGATTAAGCGAAACTACACCAGGAATCTTTGTGTCTGGAATACCTGACAGAGACCAGTATGTTCCCTGTCCAGCTTAGCTGTCAGGAACATAGCTACAGAAGTAGAACTGTGCCAACTACTTAATATGGTTGGTTTTGTGATTAAAATAGATAACCAGATTATCTACAATTATTTTCCTGCATCTCATCCTAGCTTTAAAATAAAAGCTGGAATCCTTGGAGTGGTTATCACAGCATTAGTTTGAGGAAGGTCCATGAATTTTCCAGACGTGATTAGTATTCAACTAATTCTATGCACGTAATACTAAACAAGATAGATAGTCTACACTATCTCTTTAATAATCTGCATAAAATTTGTTCTTCCTTCACACACCTTTATTTGGCAACACAGTTTTTCACTTACACCCCATGACTGGACTGAGTTCTTCCTTTTGCAGTTTAAGAGTGAGCATCCACTGTGGCAAAGTGCAGCTACTATTTGATGGGGGGCATCTGATGGGATGGCAAAAGGCTCTTCCTTGAGCTAGAATCCTATGGCTTTCTGTTGGAGGTCACCATCCCAGGACATCCTCTTGTGGAAAGGCCGTGGCATATAGGAAATAAGAATACATAGACACAAAATGATGAGCAGAGTAACAAAAAGATCTCCGAACGCAATTAAGTAAAACATTTCTTTTCCCTCTCTCCTTGTTAGACTTAGTTAGTTCCAAATACAACAAACCAGCTAAGGTGTTAGACAGAAATACACAGAAACTGTAAAAGTCAAAAGTTGGACCACAGAACTACATCTGCAGAGAAGGAAAAAAAAAAAATAAATCTGACTGTGCAACTGCAAGAGATGTTGCTCCAAGTAATCAAAAAATTGATGATGGTACTTGTGGTGGGTTGAACCCGACCAGCAGCTGAGTACCTGCCCAGTTGCTTGCTCACTCCCCCCTGCCCCAGCAGGGTTTGGGAAAGAATTGGAAGAGCAGAAGCTGAAAACACATGGGTCGAGATGAAGACAGTTTAATAAGTGAAGCAAAGCTGCACACACAAGTAAAGCAAATGAAAGAATTTATGTACTGCTTCCCACTGGCAGGCAGACGTTTAGCTGCTTCCTGGGAAGAGGGGCCTCAGCACACATCACGATTACTTGGGAAGACAGATGCAATAAGCACAAATGTCCCCTTTTCTTCTCCTTTCCCCAAGCCTTTGCTGCGGAACACGACTTTGTATGGTATGGAATATCCCTTTGGACAGTTTGGGTCAGCTGTCCTGGCTTTTCCCCCTCCCACATTCTTACGTGCTCCCAGCCTACTCGCTGTGGGGGCAGAGGGGGAAAAAGTTCGTATCCAAAAAACAACGCAACAACTATAGTGTATTCATTCCTAATTCATGCCTTATATTTTTGTATTCTTTATTATTAATCAAGATGTTCTTCACAGCATTCAGGTGAGGTTCATTCTTTAGGAAAATTATTTTATCATTTTTCATAAACACTGAGATCTCACCCCAAATTTATCCTTAATGTCAGTTCCAACATTTACCTTAATTAACATATAGTTATCAGTATTTTGATTTCGGTATCAATTCTAGCATTTTGATATGCTAGACCCCAAAAGTAGATACAGCTATTTCAGTTCATTATGTAGTTTACAAAACTAGTTTAAAAAAATATAAATAAATCTTTGCACTCATTTCTTTGTTGTCATCAAGAAATACATAGCTCAAAGCACACAAGTAATACTACCTGACAGCTGAAAAATGGAGCTGTCCGTTTTGCTCAAGCGCTACTCATTCTTTTCGTACATTTACACACAACCAGGCCCTTACATCTGGAACTGCAAACTAGCAACAACTGATGTTCATTCATTCTGAGTCTGCATCTACAATACTACACAGTATAGAAAAACTGTGTGATTTCAACCTCTGCGCTCCAGCACTGCATAGCTACCACGAAACATTTCATGTATCGAGCACGTTCTCCTACATGTGGGCAGGCAACTTAAGTAACAGAACAATTAGCACTTATAAACACTAAACTAAAAATAATGAGATTTAATGCAGCATGGCCAGTAACCAGAAGAAATTCTGCTGCTTCCTAATGCACTATGCATTTAAAAGTTTTGTACGTTGATCTGTCATATAACTCTTTGCTGTAGCCATGTTCTCATACAGAATACTGTAAGATCATTTTGAGTATTACTAAGATACGTAAATTACCCACTTCCCAAAGTCCAGGTCGCAAGGTGTAAGTCAGAGGACTTAGTTTCTCCTAAGATAATGAAGTATATACAGCTCCAAGACAAGATGGTCTCCCTTCTGAACACCAATGAGCTTGTAAACCACAGTTGTACCTTATGTGTTTGTAACTCTCATTTGCATAATACTGCTCAGAGCTACCTGTTTTTTTTTCCAGGAGGTTTACAGAAGGATTCAGCTTAGATGAACTTTTATTTCAGTTAAGTAGGTATCTATACGAATTAAAATTCTACAAACACAATCCACATTGAATGATTCAACACTAAAATTCTGCTTCCTTTACTAAACACATATTTCAAAATTCTAAGTGATTTATTTGAATAACTTCATAGGTGCTGGTCCTCAGCTCAGACACTTCAGCTTTTATTGAGCTGTGAAAGATCTTTATTGACAGTTCCTCTTGGCTTTGAAAAGAAAAAAAGGAGCCAAAGCATATTCAGTGCTGCGGCACACTACAGTTACAAAACACAAGAGTCAATAGCTAACAGCCTTTCGGGCACACGGACAACGCTTACACAGCCACTGTATGGGGCAGCAACTCTCTCCATTTTTCATATAAATCCAGTGTTTAGGTAAAATACTTAATTCTCCAAATATCAGCAACCCTGTACCCTGCAACTTCAAATATACATATAGAAGGTAGAAAGGAATAAAATTTCACTAAGAGTTTAGATCCATTTGCATGGCAGTTGTTTCCAAGAATTGCATGCCTCTATCCTATAAACAGATTTATTATAAAACAGATTTATTATAAAAGACAATGTTTATAAAAGCGAATAATTGCTGGTCATGGAAAAGCCCAAAGTGCGTAACTTGCACTGAAACTGATAACATTCTTTAGGATGCTGCCTAAGGCTGCTTAAGAAAATGTCTGTTATTCAGCAAAAGTCACAGCAGTAACACACAGTTTCTCTATGAAACAGATTTTTAGAAAGTTTCAGAGACAAAGCATTCAGTCTCGTGGGACAGCGATGTTACTTTCTGCAGACGCGAGGCTAGCGGTCGTAGTTTGCAGGTAGCAGAGAGCCCGAACCCTTGCGAAGCCTTTGCCTCTCACCCATAGGAACCCCCTGCGGCAAGCTACCAGTTATGCTGTTTCCACAGAAAAGGATTATCAGGGGAGGTTACTAAAAGAGATACTGAGTTTTTTCAAAATGCAGTTTTGCCCTTAAAATATAGTAAATTGCATTAATAATGCTCAACAGTCACAGGAGTACAACAATCCCTGCGCTGCAGCGTAACTGCACGTAGCTTCTCCTTAATACCTCTGAGAGGTTTAGTCCAGCCGGGAGGTAAGGCAACAAGAGAGAAGTTACAAGGTCCTGCATTTTAAATAGCATTTGCAGTCCTTCAGCTACAGGAAAAGAGGTGTTTGCTTCAACAAACAAAATTCTTCAGTTGAACAAAGCTTCCTCAACTCATTGCACTGTATTTTTCAAACTGAAAGGACCCCAACTCCTTTCAGATTTGGATAGCGTCATGTTAATGCTTCACTTGGCTATTTTCAAACCGTTCTTTTCTTACATTAGCACTGATAAAAGATCAAGTTAAATTTTAGTATTAATAAAACCATGACTGAATACAACAAAAACCCAGCAGGCCCAGGCTTTAGAGTCAACTTTCATCAGTATTTCCCCCTCAAAAGATTTGAATTTATTGGACAAACACCTTTCCATCTCTAGGAAAATGACCTCTCTTGTATTACAGTGATTTATGTCAACAGGATTTGTTCAGTCTTCTGAAATTTGGTAATAGCTTCTTAATGGGCACGATGAAAATCAGAGTTTACTCTGATCCATTTTTTCTTCCCCTTCAAAAACATTCCTGGAGATAACACTAGTCTATGATGTCATCATACCTAAAGAGTTACCTTTGATTATTTCTGGAAGGCTGAACTAGTCCAAAGTAATACCTCTGCTTCCAAAGTGATATATGTCACCCTCCTGGCCCTGAGGCAGCTTTTCAACATAGCCATGAGCCTATGAAGCTCCTGCGAAAGCAGCTGGCCCTCTGCCACGCAGAGGTGCTGGGAGTCATCTTGGGAGCAGAAGTCCTAACGGGACAACTTGATGTGCGCCCCCGATGCAGTACAGAGTTGCATGTGAGGGAAGAGCACCCTGCTAAGGCTGGTGGTGCTATCCAGGTGGAAGAGGTTTCTTTCCCTTTAT